AAGTTCAATTTGGCTAGTGCCGGACTATAATGTCATGAGACAGAACATGCGGACAGAGACCCCCCCTTCCTCTGCTAAGTAGGTACAGTCTGAGATACAAAACTCAATGGCCCAGATTGAAGACATTGCCATCACTTCTACTAATTCGGTTTAGGCACTCTGATCTCTAGTCATTCTCAATCTTGGAACGATGGTCGAGTTCAGTTACGCCGGGCGCTCAGTTGGAGTGAGCAAAGGGTTGAATAGTAGGCTTGCAACAGTACGGACAGAGTGCCTTCCGAATGCTATTCAGAGAAACAGCTTTGTCCCCCTTTCAAGGACAATGCGCTTTTTCGCCCAAAACCAGAACAATGGCACAATCACGATTCAACTGAGCTGCCAACCACAGCTATCGCCTTAAAAATCCTTAACCCGCTCCATTGTTGCCAACTCAACGATTTCATCTGATATTATCACTGAATTCAGTGAACATTTCAGAGATACTCCAGCGGCCACAGAGACATTTCGATCTCGACACATTCCGGCCTTCGATACCACCATCCACCACACTGACCACAGTCAAGAAGTTGCAAAACGCTGCAAATATCAGCAAGACCAGACCACTTCCGACAAAAGTACCAGCCATGGAGAACCAGCGAAATCTTCCTAGAGTTAGCAGGAGATACCTACCGCGTCTCCGAAGATTAGAAGAATTGGCGGCCCAGGCGGCAGAGGAAAGAGCTCGCATCGAAGCAGAAACCAGGGCCCGGAATCTCCAAGCCCAAGAACCTCAAGAGTTCCGCGAGGCCGACTATTTCCGCGAGCTCGACCCCAGACCCTACGTAGACCAATTAGAGTCACCCGTCGACGCCGCCAACAAGACAGATTTGTTCCCCGACGCGTCAGATTGGGCCTCCGATACGTGGACTTCATGGGAACCCGTTTTCACCTCAGCCCGGCAAAAAGCCAGTAATCTCGCGCTCTCCCTTTTCTCCCATCTCCGGAACAACCCGGGTTTCATGGCCTACGCCCTCCTTGCCTTGGCCGCGCTCCTCAACACGCTTCTCTGCATATTCACCAAAAGCTGCCCCGTGGACATATTCGGCTTCTTCTTCACCTCCAACAACGACGACACCACTTACCACCACAAATTCGGGGAATCCAAACGAAACTCCACCACATCGGAAAGCTTGTTACTAGGCTGGTCCGGCTGGACCCCTCACTACCTCGCAGCCCCCATCTCCTTAACCCTCGCCCTGGTCTTCTGCCATCCCTGGGAACGATACCCCGTCATCCTGCAGTACCTGGTGATGCTCCCGTGCACGTGGTCCGGCAAACCCTACCCGCCCTATCCCAACCTGGCGGCCTGGCGTCCGCCCGTGAGACCGTACCTCGGGTTTCGCGCCCGCGTGTCCGAGTTCTTTGGCGTGCGTGTCGACCCGCCCGGCGTCAAGGGCGTCGTCAGGAGGTTTCTCACCGTGTACCTGTACGTCTTTGCGCTGTGCGGGCTGGTGCCCCGGGCTGTGCCTGGGTGGCTCTGGATGGGGGTTCTGTTTCTCAGCCTATGGTATGGGATCCCTGCGGGGTTTTTGACGGGGCTGAGGGCCATAATTTGGATCGGGTGGGTTGCCCTCCCGCTGGGCATTTCCGTTGGGTACGAGGCATCGCTCCAGGGGAGACGGCAGTGGTGGGCTTTCTTCTCGACACACTGGAAGATGATTTTGGCAGGGGGGGCGGCTTGGATTGTGCTTGTTTCAGGAAAGGTGCCGCCCTTGAAAGTGATCCTACAGGGTACTGTTGGCGTCCCATTATTGTTTAGTACCGCCAAGGTGTTCTACTTGAGTGGCGATGTGTTATACTTGGGTGGCGATGTCGTGAGGGATGTTGCCGGCGATTGGGTGCCTGACTGGTAGAGCCTACAGGATAGATATGTTTAGAACGGGGGCAGGTAAAAAGCTTAGAATTACGCTCGAAGGCAGGACCTTCCAGAGCGCACATCATAGAATTTGTCTTCGTCTAGAAACTCATCTCTTCAGTACAGCTTGTTCCCGAAAAATGTCCCTTGTACACTTTGAACACCGCCAACCAATGCAGGGTATTGCTAGACACGAACTTCAAATCAAGCCTTGCCCGCAGCTGTGATCCCATTCGCCCCCGTCTCGATGACCTTGTATCCATCCGCATTCCCTTCTCCTACAGCAGCCCTCTCGTACGCCTCGTCACTCCTGTCACACAATACATCCAGATCCTTGTCGCTGAGCACTTCCTTGGCCCCAGAGAAGTTATAGACTAACCCGTCCTTGAGTAGCAGAGCCCTGAGTGTCTCCTTGTCCAAGTCCTCGCGCATATCGATCTTCTGCCCCATGGTCCTGAACCCGCCCTTCTTGATCACAAGCTTCTCCAGCCTGCGCTTGGCGTCGGCGCTCATCAGAAGCTCCTCCTCCACGGTGCCCTTCGTCGCGAGCCGGTACACAATCACGGGCCTCGTCTGACCAATGCGGTGCGCCCTGTCCTGCGCTTGCAGGTCCTGCTGCGGGTTCCAGTCGCTGTCAAAGAGGATGACCGTGTCGGCGCTCGCGAGGTTGATACCTTGACCGCCAGCGCGGGTCGAGAGCAGGAAAATCTTGAGCTTTCGGTTCGTGTTGAACTCGCGAATCTGGGCGCGCCGTTCCTCCTGAGAAACGCCACCGTCAATACGGCAGACGGGCCATTTGCGGAGCTGGGTGCAGTAGTCCTCGAGGATGTCAAGCTGGGTTTTGAACTGGGAGAAGATGAGGACTTTGTGGCCGCGCTTGAAAAGCGCCGGAAGGAGGCGGTCGAGAAGTAGCATTTTGCCCGAGGCGGTAACAATGCTCTCGTCGATGGGTAGGTTGGTGTCTGTTGACCAGGGGTTGTAGAAGTTGTGCGGGCTGTTGCAGACCAGTCGGAGCTGGAGGAGTGGATTGCCGAGTTTCTTGTTTGCGATTTCACGCTCTGCGTGTTGTTAGTGACATTATACCAGGACGGCCAAGCAGCAACCTACTCGCAATGTCCAGAGTCTGTGCTCTCTCAAATTCCTCGGCGTCGAGCGCATTCTCAGCGTCTGGGGTCTCGTCCTCGGCCATCTGTTCAGCAAGCTTTGCCTCAAATTCCTCGTCGTCTAGCATGTCATCATCGGAATCGGCTTCCTTGTACGTCTGCTTTCCCTTTCGCGGCCTACCGCGGGTGCTTGCAGGGGTAGATTGCCTGCTAGACCTGGCACTCTTGGGAGCTGGTGATTCAGACGATGGGGAATTCTTCCTCTTCGGCCCTTTTCTGGCCGGTTTCGGCGGGACCGGCTCTGCCACCACTGCAACGGCTCGCTTGTCGACGGCGGGAGTTTTGGGCGATGGTCCTCGTGGGCGAGACTTGCCCATCAACAGTGTAAATGCGTTTTTGGCAGACGACGCACTATCCCGAGCTTCCACGGCCACTGATACCGGTTCAACGTCAGTGTCTGCTTGCCTCTTGGCACTGCCTGACCTGGAGGAGCGGGTGCTGCGGCTCGGCGAAGACGCTGTGCTGCTGGTGGCTGCTGTGAGTCGCTCAACGACCTTGTTCTCCAGATATGCCCTCGTATCAATGTTCTTGTCGTTGATTACGTTATACAGGTCCGTCTGTTCCTTGGTCATGGGCGCGTACAAGACATATTCGCGCTTCTTCGGGAGGTATTTCGCAACATCAGCCTTCACTCTGCGCAGGAGCAGGGGCTGCAGCACAACGTGCATCTTCTTGACGAGTTCCTGCTTGGTCTTATCGGCAATAAACTCTTCGGTGCCCTCTTCATCTTCGAGATCGCTAAAGTCGAACCAGCTCTCAAAGGCCTCCCAGTCGCGGAAAATCTTGGGTAGCAGGAAATTGAGCAGAGACCACAGCTCTTTAAGATTATTCTGTAAAGGAGTGCCTGTGATAAGAAGACGCGTGGCAGAGGTGAAGGATTTGAGTTCGCGAAACAGTTTCGAGTCGAAGTTCTTCATGCGATGCCCCTCGTCGATAATGATAAACTCCCAATTGATTTTGGAGAGGGCAGCGCGATCCTTGAGCACCATCTCGTAGCTCGTACAAACAACAGGAAACTTGTCTGTGGGTCTTCCGCCTTGAAGATGCCGCATGATCTTGGACTTGAAGATGTCGCTGCGTTGCTGTGGAGTGCCGTGATACATGACGACCGGGATTGAAGGGACCCAATGGTGAAACTCATCCAGCCAATTGGATAGAGTACTAAGAGGAGCCACGATGAGATGCGGTCCGAGGTAGTTCTCTTGCTCGCGGAGCAGCGCAATCAAGGATATTGTCTGGACAGTTTTGCCTGATTTAAAGGGGTCAGTACCAAGGGTGCAGAAATGTGCTTCGAGAACCAGGACATACCCAAGCCCATCTCGTCGGCCAAAATACCGCTCATCCCCTGGATGCAAATCTCGTACATCCAAGTCAGCCCTTCCAGTTGGTAGTCCCTCATGGTGCCGCCAACGACACATTTGGGCTGTTTAGCCATGGTTAAGTCGTGCTCCCCGATCGTCTTTCCATCGAGGCTAGTGCCTACACGGCCCAGAACCTTGGTCTTGTTGGTCAAGATACTGCTGAAGGCAGCGCTTTGTGCTAGAAGCTGGTCCAAATCCTTTGCTTTTGCTTCGCGTTCCTCCTTGCTCAGGACCCTCTTCTTCCACTTCCTTTTGCGTTTCTCCTCGGCTTTGAGATTTTCCCCACGAGCCCTTTCCTCCTCTTCGGCAAGGGCTTGCTCCTCTCGTAGCTTGGTATAGCTCATCTTGGATTTGTCCATTGTGGGCGACGGTGACATCGGAGGGGGAGACGATGGAGCGCTCGTAGGTAGGCGCGATGCCGAGCTAGCGGACTCGTCGTCTGAGGATGAAAAGTAAGGCATATCTGGATTGAAATCTGCCACTGGACGCTGGAAGTGGAAGGAGACGGGAGATGCGAGATTTGGGGTTGGGCAGACGGCGAGCCCACGAACCAGTGCGTGCACGGAGAGGTCCCTAAGGATAATTCTGGTGGTGGACGAGTCAGATCTAAATTCAGAGAGACATGACACCCATTGGCGGCTGTGATGATCGTGCCTGGATTGTTTTGAGCGTATATTGAGACTATACTCCGTACTGGTCAGCGAAGACGGGATGGAATTTTGTCCGAACAGGACATGTCAATTCAGAAGGGCGCGATGCACGCGACGGCCGATCGCCACTTGGTCATGTAGCGCGTCAGAACTTTGCGCGTTGTCACGGGCTGGAACTTTAATGAGTGGGTCTGACAGGGGCAATCACTTGCCCCACTTTCCCCTGTGCTGCGGCTGTTGCCTCATGTTCAAGGCGAGAAAGTGTGCCCCTCGTTTGACAAGCAATTGCCCCGCAGTTTTTTCTTTCGAGTCGAAATTGTTCAGTCAGTCGGTTGCGCCCCTCCTTCTGCCCAACCCGTCTCATGATATTGAAGATTGGCTTTACTGTTGGTCCTTGGTTGATCTGCACACCATAATTCCGCCAAGCTGTTCTCCCTTAGAGCCGCAGCGCGCCCAGCAGCCGCTCTTCGAAGCGTGTCACCCTTCCGACAACTGCTGTCTCGGCCCCTCAACACCATATCGCTGTCCAATCCACACATTATGGCCGCCCTTGATTCCCAAAAGTACACGCCCGCAGAGGAGTCGGAGATCCAGGCGTGGATCGCCAAGGCTGACTCCCTCAAGTCTGGTGCTTCCGACTCCCTGCTCGACTCTCTGAACGCCGACCTCGCGACCAGAACCACTGCCCTCGGCACCAAGCCCAGCAAAGCCGATGTTGCCCTGTATGAGACGCTTGCACCTCTAGTCAAGGGTTGGACCCCGGAGCAACGAACAGGCCAGCAGGGCCGCCCCAACATCGTCCGCCACATCGACTTTGTGCAAAACAGCCCGTTCTTTGGCCTCAGCATTGCCGATGCAGACAAGGTTCAGGTCAACCCGGACGAAATTCTCTACGTCAAGCCGCCCGTCGACGCCAAGGCCGAGAAAGAGCGCCTCAAAAAGGAGAAGGCTGCCGCCGCCGCCGCCGCTGCCGCCTCCACCGGGCCCACTGCGGACAGCGCAAAGAGCCTCGTGGACCGGACAAAGGAAGCAGCCAATGCGGTCGCAGACAAGGCCGCCGAGGTAGCGGACAAGGTGGCTGAGGCCGTCGCCGGCGAGGGCAACGGCAAGCAAAAGAAGGACAAGAAGGAGAAGAAGGAGCGCCAACCGAAGCAGCCCGCCGCGCCACCCGCACCGACCGTGCTCTCCCCCTGCCTGATTGATCTGCGCGTCGGCCACATCCTCAAGGCGATCAAGCACCCCGAGGCCGACTCGCTGTACGTGTCGACCATTGCCATGGGCGACCAGCCGGGGACAGAAGACACATCCGAGTACGAGGGCCAGGTTGTGCGGACGGTATGCTCCGGCCTGAACGGGCTGGTGCCGCTCGAGGAGATGCAAGGCCGCAAGGTGGTGGTGGTCTGCAACCTCAAGCCCGTCAAGATGCGCGGCGTCAAGTCGTGCGCCATGGTGCTTGCCGCGTCGCCCCGCCCCAAGGACGGCGAGGCCGACGATCACAAGGGCCCCGTCGAGCTGGTCAACCCGCCTGCTGATGCCAAGGCCGGCGAGCGCGTCTACTTTGAGGGGTGGCAGGGCGAGCCGGAGAAGGTGCTGAACCCCAAGAAGAAGATCTGGGAGACTTTCCAGCCTGGGTTTACTACGACGGAGGACCTTGAGGTGGCATTCGACGCCGGCGTGGTCGAGGCGCTCGAGGGCAAGACGGGTCTGGGCAAGCTGGTTACCGCCAGCGGCGGGGTTTGTAAGGTTGCCAGTCTAAAGGGTGCTCAGGTGCGGTAAGACAGCATACCCCTGATGTTTGGTGTAGCAAAAGCGTAGCGCTGCGGCCCTTTCGAGAACCGCGCTAGAGGGTCAAACAAATAGAACGGGTGTCAGATGCCATGGCAAGCAAACTATCTTCACTCCCATTTTCTACGGGTATGGATAACAACGTCCCCTTTCCTCCTCCCGTTCTGTCAGCCCCTAATACATGACTTTCAAAGATGATGCCAAGCGTTATACTCGCCTATGGCTTCTCCTGGTTCCCGTATAGCAGCTGTAGCATGGCCAAATACAGATCGGACAAGCGCATTTGTAGTAAGTCGACAGAAAAGGCGTTCCTTGTAAGGACGGAGAGTGCAATATCGACCTACCGTTTCCCTGCTAAAGATCCCGGCACCTTGCTCAACCGTCTGTATGTGTTTTCGGACACAGTGTTCTCTTGATTTTGGAATCGCCGCAACATGCATGTGTCTCTTCCAAGCGTTCAGCGAGATAAACGGAGACAGTACCACCAACGCTGAGGAGCTCCAAGCGCAGGGTTAAAGGACAGAGCCATGAAAAGCCCCCTGACGAGCCACAAGTCGTGGCAGCGGAGGAAGGTTGGCACAAGAGATTGTTTACTACTTTAAATGCCCCTTTCTATCATACAATATACAACAGAAGTTTTGATACAAACAACACCACCTGCCTGACCAAGACAGAAGGCTGAGCGACACTAGAATACATGTATCCTTACATGCCCACGTCTTCTTTCAACGCCATGCCAAAACCTGCCCTCATGCAAAGGATAAAATGAAACGCCGCAAAGATGCAATGTTTTTTTTTTGGCTGTGAAATGCCCATGTTCACTCGGTTAGACAGAGCAAATCCTCCTCTCATGAGAAAAAGTACCTGCTGTCCTTGAGCTTCCGCACGTCAAAATCACCCTTGGGTGGGATATCGGGAAACGTTAACGGGAGCCACAGCGACAGGGTGGACGCTTGGCGCCGGTCCGTGTATCTTGGCCTCGTCTCCATTTCGAAATAGTTGGTGTCCTTGACCGCCAACAAGTGCTCGGCGTACTTGCTGCCCGGGAGTGCTGCGTCCTCAGGTGCGTCTTCAGATGCGTCGTCGTTTGCCGCAACCTCCACTTCCTCCAACTCGGGGCTCTCGTCGGGTTCGGCCAGAGATGCCTCCGTCTCTGCTTCATCATTCACGGCCAATTGTTCCAAGACTTCAGTGCCAGATTCAATCGACACCATATCCGGTGTCCCAAACTCCTCAAAGATGCTAGCCGGCGTTACCATCTCCCTCCCCTCTCTGACTTCCTCGGGATCCATAGAGCGTAGCAACTTTTGGCGCCGCGCCTCTTGCAGCAACTCAGCCTTGAGGGCTTTGGACTTCTTGTTAGATCTGCGATGCTCCAGGATCTTACGCGCAACGGGGCTGGAGCGGTCAATCCTGGCTAGGTGAAGAGACCCGCGGTACCTCGCCTCAAACTCGGCCTTGAGACGGCCAATGACATCCTCGTTATGGATCCGGATAAAAGAATCGCGAATGATGTCATTCATGACCTCCACGTCCGCCGCGTGAGTCCAGAACGAATCGTGAACGGCAGCAAACGTGAGACCCTTGTCGTGACACTCGAGTGCCGACAGCATCATGTGACTGGCATCGAGGGAGTGAATGAAATTGGGCGGGAAGGCTTGCAGCTGTTTCCGCCGGTTAACCGGGTCATGCCTTTGCGGGTTGGTCAAGACGAGTGTTTGCAGGCACGTATGGACTTGGCGGGTAGACGGCTTCCTGTAAGGTTGTACCACAGGCATCCGTAGCGGCGTTGTCCAGACGAGAGTGGAGCGGAAGAGCTTGTGTACTTCGGTATTGCCATCAGACGCGTCTTTCGATTCATTCTCTTTCTTCTTTCCCAGCGAGCGCTTCTTAATTTCGGATACCTCGCGCTCCAAGTGTTCGATCTGCTCCGGAGTCATGGAATTGCATACGCGGCCGCCAATTTCGCCAAGCCACTTCTGAATGGCCTGGGCACCACCAAACATGGTGGTCAGGGCCGCAAAAATCTTTGAAGCGATGTATGCGGAGAGGAGTGTCAGCGCGACGCCCGTCTCTTCTTCCAGCCCTGGGTACAATGCATTCAGTTGCTTCAGGACCTGCTTCTTGGCGCCAGTATATGTGACACCATACACATAGGTCATAACCGTCTGCTTAACCACCTTTCTGGTAACTTTACCCATCACAGCCTTGGCAAACATGTTGTCCGTTTTGGCATCCTCGGCAATTTCTTCTTCCACTAACTTGGCAACGGCCGAATACACATCGGCAGGGCGGTCTCCTGGCAGCAGGTTTACCTGCTGCGCGCCCCAACTGTCACCACCAAGGGCTGCGTAGTGCTGAAGTCCATTGCAGGTGCCGTCCTGGTGAACCGGCAGGTGGGAGATAAAAGCGGCCGGATCAGGGGACTGGAGCGCCGCCCTCAGCTCAAAGCACGTCGCTAGACACTGCCACGGATCTTCGGCCGTGAGCCACCAACGCTTCCCCTCAAGCGGGTTATCGGCCGAGTCGTAGATGTTTTCAAGATTGTTCGTGGCAAAGTCCTCGCGCTCCTGGAGACTGGCCTTGTCATACCCATAGACGTTGGCGAGGTGAATTTTGAGCCAGCGCAAGCCGCGTTCTCCCAGAGGCTTTCCCTTGGCAAAGACCAGCAACCCACGCATGTGGTCAGCTCCCATGTGATTCATGTAGGTCGGTATGGGATATGCTCGTCCGCGGAAATCGAGATTGTGGGGAAAATAAAAGGTCTGGTCTCGGAATGCCCTGGCTACTTCGAGCTGAAAATTCATGGAGCACCTCTGCGAGTGCAGCCCCGACTTCTCGTTCTCAATCATCTTGACATGCCGGAACCAAGCCCGCCTCTTCATCGGGTCGTCGGTAGAATCCGGTTCTGGAGGGAGCGGGATCTCAGGGTTCAGTGGTGGAATGTCGGCAAGCGCCTCGCCCGTGTTCCACACCGCGAGAAGAACGTCGAAGACCTTGCGGTTGACCCTCCAAGCCGTCTTACCCAGCACGTCTAAACCCCTGAGCATCTGCTCCATATCTCCTCGCTCGATGGCTGCTTCGGCGTAGAGCTGCTGCTCCTTCAACCCGTCTTTAACCCGGATGAGAGCACTTGAGTATTCAATAAACCCGCCTTTGTTAAACTTGGTCCACGGCTCAGGCTCAACGACCATGGGTAAGTGACGTGCGAGAAATTCGCCCCTGGGTTCCCTTTTCATGAGTTCCAGCACTGCGGCATTTGGCAAGAAAACGCCAACCTTCTTGCCTTGCTTGAGGATTATACTATGCGAAAAGGCCGGCTGGGACTGCGATACCAGCTCTTTGGTCACTGGGTGTTCCTTGATGACCGTAATTCTGGCGGTCTCCATCAAAGCCGAGACCAGCAACGAGCCGATTTTGGCCCTGATTTGAAATGGCCAAGGTTGGTCGTTTTGCGTGACATTTCGACTGGTTGTGCCGGCCGGCGTTGTCATGCTGGAACCGTCCTGCGAAAGTCCGATCCGTGGCTGTTGCTTCATTGGGGAGCCCCAACGCTGTATTAATTGCCGGATCTGGTGCTGCCGTAATCTTTTACCCCCCTTATCCATGGCTTGCTTTGCAATTCGCAACTGGAGTCGCACGTCCTCCTCGGCGAATTTGGCCATCTGATGTACCATGTGGGAGACGACGATACCCTTCTCGGCGCCGTGTTGGCCGAGCAAGCCCAAGGTACCGAGGATAACGACGGCGGAGAGCCGACTGGGGGAGGTCTGGTGTAGATACGGGCCGTACAAGCACCGATCGAAGTCTCTTTCTGTCTTTTTGGGGTTTGCTTCCGAGGCATCGACCAGAACTAATTCCTTCGCAAGTCGAGCTTCGAGAGCCTCATGCCAATCGTTAAGCCTGGAAGTCACAGAGGGCGACGAAACATGGATACGCATTTCCTTAAGATTCTGACTCATTTCTCGCCATCGAGCGATGGCTGCATCCACGCAATCCTTCTCTAGCCGGGACTGGAGTTCACGGCGCTGCGCACGGGAGAGGGAGGATATGTCGCTCCCATCCGGAAGCTCGGAAAGCAGCGAAAGGGCTTTTTTTAACATTTCGAGACCCATGCCTTTCTGCGGTGTGCTCAAAACTTCGCCGGCCGCGGCCGGAACCTTGGCCTCTGACAGCTCTGCAGTGTCTCCTGAGCCGCCTCCACTGTCGCTCGCGGCTTCGTGATCGTTGTGACCATCGGCATCGACATCTTGGCCGAGGGGGATAGTTTCGGGCATGCTGTAGTCAGGACATATCTGGGCAATGGCGGCCAAGTCCTGGTCGGTCAGCACGCGTCCAAGGTACAGGTCTCCCATGCCGGCTTGCTGGGGCAGAAGGCCCATGTAGCGGGTGATACGTCTGTGGAGTTGCGAGCCTTGGGACGTGAGCAGGCTCGCCTTGAGCATGTAGGCGATGATGTCTGTGGTTACGGGAAGCCGACTGTTCCGCACTTGAAGCTCAAACCACCTGTGGACGTCGTCGGCCTTGTCCACACCCGGCTCGGCGGCGAGTTGGGCAACGCGGGCTTGCAACCATCGGGCGTGCAACTCTATCGCTTCTTGAGGCGACAAATCCGACTTTGCAATGCGATCCAGTACCATGGCGGCGCGGTCTAACCTGCCAATTTGCAAGCAAGCATCGAATATCGACAGCAATTCCTCAAGATCGCCGGGAATACCATGGATATTGATGCGTCCCCTTTTTTGGTGCGTCGGAGGGCCGTCGCTGATTATCAAGGGCGAATTGGGGTTTATCCAATTCAGATTGTAAAGAGGCGCTTTCGACGGGCCAGAGTGATGCTGCCCCCTCAAGATAGGGGTTAGGCCGTCCAAGGGGATGTCATCGCCGTAGCGGTGGTCCTCCACCGTGGTGGCCAGAGTACGCTCGAAACTGACAAGGGCTCGGCAGGCTCTCCTTTTCCACGAGCGGGAATCCCTTGCGGTTGTAAGTACACGCTTGGTCTCAGAGAGCACCCGTTGCGAAAAGGCGATGGGACATGTTGGAGGACGTCGTAGCGGACCAGTGAGCAGCAGACGGCTCGTAGGGAGGGTACGTCGCGCGGCGCCGGGACGGACGAGCATACTGAGGAAGAGGGAGAGGCTCAGGCGGCGATCGCGTCGTCTGGGGGTCGCGTCGGCTCGGGAGGAAGAGAGAGACGAGCTCAACCAAAAGGACGGCAGGCGCGTGCGGAGGAGGCCAAGCAGGCGATTCAATGCATTAGGCCCGATATTAAAGATAAATAAACATAGAAGGCACAAAAAGAGGCTGCTATCAGACCAGTCCAAGGTGCCCGGAACCGATGATAGAGCATGCGGAACGGTGAGAGATGGCGAAAGAATGGATTGGAGAGATAAGGGATGGAAGGGAAAAAAAAGTTAACTAGCGTTACTTCGTAGCTTTGCACGCTTGACGAAGTGGGTCGCTGTAAGGTACTGTAAGTTCCCTAACGGGGGATTGCCAGTACAGTCTGTGCTCTGTGCGCCGCAAGATCTAGAAGCATATACAATACCGACGGGTGGCGAGTCTCAGTCGGCGACCAATTCCTAGCCATCAAGAACACAGATTCGAACTTCTCATTCGAACCTGGGCCTTGTGTAGGTGAAATACATGTGGGCGGTACGATGCATGCGAACTACAGTACCATACGGTACGGTGTAAGTGTTGTATTTTACATACACTACACTACTTCATATGTATGTACGGAGGTAAGGTACGATCCACTAAAACTACATGCATTGCCATGGAACATTAGAAACACAGCAACAGCAGTTCTTGGACTTTTCACTCCACCCGACTCGAAGTTAAACAACCAGCCTTTAGGCTTTCACACGGCGGGCGCGAATAACCATCAGCAGCAACAATGGGGCCGTCAATTGCCTTACGCGCTACCCGCTGCTCGGCCTGTAGCTTGTCGGCACTTCGACTTTTTATCGGCAGCATTGCTGGGACCGACGTCCCCCCTGCCAAACTGGCAAGCAGACGACTCGCTCCCATTGCCACGGCGAGTTACTACACCTTCCGACCTACGCCCCGTCTCCTACATAGTCCTGCCATCGAAGAACAAATTCAAAAAGAAGAGAAACCCGATGCTAGGCAGGGAGTCTCGGCGGCAGAATCCAATGCCGCCGACGTACCGTGGTACCTCCAGGTCGAACCGCCAAGGCACCCGACGCTGGTGCACGAGCCGCCACCCCTGCCCGAAGTCCCAGAGGGGTCGCCCAAGATCGTCGAGTTGCTCCTCCGATACGTGTCGGACGAGTTGGGCCTGGACGAGCTGACATTGCTTGACCTGCGGGCAATGGACCCTCCACCCGCCCTGGGCCCGGGCTTGCTGATGATGTTCGGAACGGCGCGCAGCGAGCGGCACTTGCACGTCTCGGCGGATCGGCTGGTGCGCTGGCTGCGCGGGCGCGGCATCACGGCCGCGGCGGATGGTCTGCTGGGGCGGAACGAGCTCAAGCTCAAACTGAGGCGGATTGCCCGGAAGGCGAAGCTGCTAGGCACCTCTGGGGTGCCCCGTGGTGGCGACGATGGCATCAGCACAGGGTGGATCTGCGTCAATCTAGGCTCCCTCGGCGGGTCCCATGAGGAGGTTGTAACGGTAGACGCAGAGGGCAGGCCAACGGGGTTTGGCGTGCCTGATACTGGCACCACCATCGTCGTCCAGATGTTGACTGCGTCCAGGAGGGAAGAATTGGATTTGGAATCTTTGTGGAGGGGAAAGCTTCGAGCGAACCTGAAGAAGCAAGGCCTCCCGATGCCCGCCAACCCAGCTGAGACACCCAGTTCCAGTGAAGCGACCTTTTGAAAATCGATGGTGCCTGCATGCGAAGGCTTTTTCTCTACATCGCCTAGCCCTTGAACAAGCTTTTCTACTACAACAATTCCAGACAATCCCAGGCGTATTGACGAGGGCCTGGTGCTTGTGAAAAGCGGGATAGTGCACCAGGGTAATTCGGACTTGGGCGAGGATAGTGAGTCGAGCAGAAAATCTGCCAGTGAAGCGGATTCCGTTGCGAGTTGATCAGCCATCCGGGTTCATGGGAATTCCAGAGACCCCTGACACGAGTTGTACAGTACAATACCGAGTGTCCAAACAAGTGACGCTCGCGGGAAACGAGGTTCCCCGTCGCAGGGGCTAAGCTCAGTAGGATTGACACCATATTGAATCACGGCCTGAGTGGCCTAAGTACATGTAGAACTAGCTGTATAACATTTGAACTCCATGTATGGGTGGTTTGCCCTTTCACTCTGAAGATTCCCCAATGTTGAGGCAAAGAAAGAATGGATGTACGCTTCACAGTCGTGCCCAACCAGCACTCATAGCCTGCATGGAGAATGCACATTCACTACAGTGCTCATCAGGATGATCCTATCAGCGACTGTTTCGACTGGTCAGTGTTTAAAATACTCTGGCGGCAGATCCATCCTCGCTCAGCCCCTTCAGAGCCTCGCGGATTCCCTCATGACCTCTCTCAGCATCGGCGCCACCTGCTTCCGACTATGCTCAACCTTCCGCTGCCTCCAACACGCCCTCCAACCCCCACCATCTTTGCCGTCTAATTCTCCCCCACCCCACTTCTCCAACCCCAGCGAATCCCCATACTTCCTTTCGAATTCCTTCACCACATCGCCAGCTTCCTTGTTCAGCCCCCAAACAAGTAGCTCCCTCGTAAACACCACATCCGGCCTCGAGGTCGTCATCACAGCCGCGATATCCAACCTCTGCTCCCTCGCCCACGAGCTCAGCGCCGCTAGAAACTCAGCCTTATCCCCGATCTCGCGAAAAAGATAAGCAAACCCCTGCACGACAGACGAGACGCCCAGGGCAAGCGAGCCGTCGCTCCAGCGCTTGTAGTCTTTACGCAGGATGTCGCGGTACGACAGGCCCTGGATTTGCTCCTTGAGCTGTGCAAGCTGGCCGTAGTAGGCCGTCCGGTCGTAGGGTCCGCGGCCGAGTTTTGATTCGGCCAGCTCGACCGCACGCACGTCCCGGTCTGTCGTCTTGTCCCTAGACGTCAGGTTGCTCGTGTCCATCAGGATCGGCGCCAGCGCCACGCGCGCGAGGGCTGCATCCTCCTCCTGTTCTGCATCCGCGCCGCCGCCGCCGTTTTCAGCCGTGAGCCGGTCCCATATCTCTCTGCAGTGCTCCAGGACTAGGCTCATGCAGCTGCCGCACTTGGCGATAACGCGGGGCTGCTCTGGGGGCAAGTTTTGGGGGATGGAACCCTCATCGTCGTGGTGGTCGATGCAGCCTACGATGAGGCTGGTGTCGGAAAAGGTTGTGGCAAGGTCGCCTGTTAGGACGTTGTGGTCAACTAGGAACCAGCGCGTGTCTTGCGGGGCGAGCCCGTCCTTGGGAAGGTCACTGATGGTGATGAGATCGTCTGGCTGGAGGCCTGCTGGGTTGAGCGCGGCGGTGAGCTCAGGCCGGAGAGCAAGGTCCGCCCGGGGGAGGTTGCATAAGGGAATGTGCAAGGTGTGAGGTGGGGTGTGGGTGCGGAAGTAGGCGAGGATGAGGGCCGAGCACAGGGAGTCGAGGTCTGATGTTTTGTTAGTCATTCAGTTGCGGGTTGCGGATTCTAAGTGGAAATGTATTCACCTGCAGACTCGTTGCCAACAACGAAGCTCAGTGGTTTAGGCCGTTGTGGAAGCGGCGCTAACAACGCTTGCCTTGCAGTCACTAGGAACGATTTTAGAGACATCCGGGAAGCCATGGCAAGTCCCGCGGCGCTATTACAAGTTGTCGTTACTTTATAAAGAGTTAGGATGTTGAGTTGACACGACTTCTTGAGTGTGGGCAGATATCACTCTCTGCTCAGCTTAAAAGCCGGTTAGTGCTCCTAGCTAGATCTTGAGGTATGACAGGGCGATTGAATGGGCCGAAGGGTCGTTGTAAGTTGTAAACCGGGTACTTTCAGTACCACAGCCCAGGTCCACGATATCTGTGGAGGAGAGATGCCGTACCAGCACAATCCAGGCAGTTGATCACGTTGCAACCCGACAAACCGTTGTAAAGAGAATCTGCAATGCATCATCACTTTCACCCCGCAGTACCCAAAACAGGGTTTCTATCCCCAAGCCCAAGAACCGCTGCAGGGGAATTTTGAGGCTGACGGCAAGCCAATCGTCCACTTCTTGGCGATGCCATGCCCGATGCCGGTTTTGTGGCGTCCGAAGATCGCTGATTGATGGACCCACCATCAGAGTTGGCAGGACCTTGCCGCATTAGGTAACAGTACCTTCACTGGACCCCTTTTCCCGGTTACCCAAGGGTTATCGCGACGGCTCAGGGTCTAGGTACTCCGTACAGTCTACATACGCCATGGGTGTATGTACATTGTACGCAGAAGGGCGCAGCAACTTGGACTGTATAAGTACTGCAGCACCGGGCATCATGATTAACTTGACCATCGCTTTGAGTTTGCCTTGGCGTTAAGAAACACGGGGGACCGTACACGACAGTAAGAGCACATCCATCCTCATCGTTGGTACTGTACTTTTCCTCGGTCCATTATTGTGGAAATCCTGGGGCGCAGTTTCCGTCCTAAAGGATAAATCGAGTAAGCGTTATCTGTGCCCCAGGTATCCGTATCTTGACATCTCACTCAAACCAGACATCCAGACATCTCACTCTCACTCAGTCACACTTACCAGGACACTTCTCCCACATCCATCTTCAACCGTCCTCCTCACTTAATCCCGATGCCTCCCCTCCGCCTTGCAATCCTCGAAGCCGACACCCCGGTACCGGCCGCCAATGCGCGCTACAAAGGCTACTTTGGCGTCTTCAAGCATCTGTTTGAGCGCGCCGTCTCGCCAACTACCCTGGACTCAATCGTAACCCTCACCGGCCACGACGTGGTGCACAACCCGTCCAGCGCGTACCCCTCCTTGGACAGCATCGACGCGATCCTAATCACGGGGTCCAAGCACGACGCCTTCGCCGACGACGAGTGGATCCTGACGCTGGTCGAGTACGTGCGCAAGGCACTGGTGCATCCTCGCGTGCGCGTGGTCGGCGTGTGTTTCGGGCACCAGATTGTGTCCCGGGCGCTGGGCGCGCTGGTGGCGCGCAGCGACAAGGGCTGGGAGGTGAGCGTGACCGAGACCAGGCTGACCGAGAAGGGCAAGGAGTTGTTTGGTGGGAGGGAGACGTTGGTGAGTTTTTTGCCCATTGAGCTATATCCCCCCAGGTGCTGCTCGGGGTGAGGCGTGGGGGTTAACAGACATGTTGTAGAAAATCCAGCAGATGCACCGGGACCAGGTCTTTAACGTCCCTGCTGGCGCAGAACTGCTGGCTTCGACCGACAAGTGCATGAACCACGGCTTCGTGATCCCCAAGCGGGTCATCACTGTGCAGGGCCATCCTGAGTTCACAGAGGACATCATGCGAGAGATTCTCGAGCTGCGGCACGAGACAGGCTTGCTCACGGACGAGGTGTTCCAGAGTGGCATGGAGCGGAATGGAGATGACCATGACGGTGTTCTAATGGCTCAAGTATTCCTCAAGTTCCTTCAGGAGCAATAACAGCATGTCTGGTTGGAATCTTATGTTCCCGCAGGACTCTCGTAATCTCCACGCCAAGGAACCCATCGCCAGAGAGCCAGCTTCGTGATAGCCGCCACGGGCCAGCAGAGAAGACCAACAATTGTGAACTATACATATTGCCCGAACGAGAAGCTGTCAATCGCCCTGTCAACCCCAAATCTGACTTGCACCAAGCCCCGATGATAAATGACAGCATGCCTAACGGCCCAAACCTATACTCCTGATCACCCCGAGAGACGCCCGAATCTCATCATGGCTTTGTAAGAAACCCAACAACCCGCCGAAATGCATGCCGATCCAGGGGTATTGCCTCACCTGTATGCCAAGAATACAAAAGGAAATGGCAGCGCCGCGAGGCATGCACGTAATAAAATGAAGCCAACCATCAGTCCACCGTCCGCCCAACCACGCCGTTCACCTCTCCATGGATACTTCCGCGCTCCTCTTCGTCCAACGACCCATCCAAAAATTCTGGGTCCGCCTCCCACCATTCCGTCACCGCTTTCCTCCTTCCCACGTTGCCCCTAATGGCCCTCTCTTCCAAGATCTCGCCATCCCTTCTCAGCCTCGCCAACCTTCCGTCAACCAGCATCTCTTCCCGAGTCCTCCCCGCAGTTCTTCTTCTACCGCCGGAGCTTCTGTCCCAGAGCCACCCAAACTGGTCCCTGCCCTTGGCATGCCGCCAGGGCTCTTCCCTCACCATGAACAGCGCGCAGTCCACCGCGCCCTGCACGCAGAGCGATATGATCCCCACCACCAACAGCCAACGAGGCTCGTGGCCCGTAACGGAGTGGTCGTAGTCCATGACGTGCGACACGAACGGGAAAATCCAGACGATCATGTATGCAAGCGGATAGACAAAGAGGGAGCGAAGCTGCCGGCGGAGTCTGTCGCGCTGCTGGGATACGACGCCGCCGTGGGCGCCGTCGGTGTCATTATCACCCGCTATCTGGGGATGTGCTATGGGCGAGGGCTCGTCGGCGCCCTGCGTCTCCGGGGCTGATGGGGAGCGACCTCGATAGGGAAGGGTCTTCTGTATGCCGGGGATGAGGTTGGTGAGAGAGGCACTGCGCTCGTCGCATCCGCAGTGGTCGGCTACGAAGCTGACATGTTGGCTGACGGGCGGTGTGGGTTGGTGTTGCGTCAGGTTCTGATTCGTGGGGTCCGGGAGGCCGTCAGTTGTCGTAGTTACCCGAGGCCGGGGAGTACGCAGCGGCGGCGGCGAGGATACGAAACTAGAATTGGGGGAGAGCGGGTCTCCCGTCTCGTCAGCTAGGGAAGTATTGGCTAGCGGTGCTCGCGTTTGCGTAAAGCCCGCCCAATCCCATTGAATCTCTGGATTGGCCCTGGAACTCCCCGGGGGTAGAGTACTCGTCGCTGATCCGGGCATCTGCACATCTTTTACGACTGATATGGTGTCTACCGCGGAGGTACGTCGTGAAGTTGGCGTTGATGGGATCAATCCGTGGTAGCAAATCCGTGGAATCGCAGGAACGCTCGTCGACACACTTGATAACCGCCGCTGCTGCAAGGCCTCAGAGCTCCTTCTACCGTAGTCACCTAATCTGTTCCAGATGTACAGATAGATGAAGGCGTAGATGGCGGCGATGCCGGCACAGACAAAATATCGGGGAATCCAGCTGAGCATCAGGCGGGCCCAGGTTCGGTCGGTCCGGAGATAGCAGTAGTAACCGACGTTTTCGTAGCCTTTACCGTCAATGAATGCCAGGCAAGCGGTAGTGACTGGAAACAGATAAAACACCAAGTAGGCAAGCTTTCGATATGGATACAGTCCAGATCTCGGTCGGAAGATGTACATGACAGAATGCAGGGCGATCAACAGTACGGCGACGTCTGCGGACTCAATGCCGATGGCGAGAGTAACGCCGCTGAGCTGGCAGAATGCCGAGTCCGATTTGACATCATCTTTGATGAGGCTCACAATGGGGAAAACGACATAGGCCATGGACTTGAGGATGTCGCTTTGAATGAGCAGCAATATCAACCTGTCAGGATTAGCAGAGCAAACGCATCGCTGAATCTGGAGCCAGAGGAAACCGTACTGATGTCGAAAATTCCGCCTCATGCGCATGAACCAGTATAGGGTGCCCAGTGTTGATACAACACTTATCGAAGCAAAAGTGAGGGAGAGAATCGTCAAGACATAGATTGTGTATCCACGATCATCGTTGTTCGAGCTTTGACGGAGTGCTATCGGCAATGTGGATTCGGCAACGGCAGCTCTGTCAACGGATCCAACACTATCCATTCTCAGAGACCTCCATTGAGGCCTCTTGCGGAGAAAGTCGTTTTGTGTTTCAAATGGCAGAACCTTCGGCTGAGGCTACCGTCTAGAAGATGGTCGATATATACTTTGAGGCATCACCGGAACAGAACCAAAGCTTTCTGGGCGGTTGGCTGGAGAGATGGGAGACTTGGTGGAGGAAGAAGAGCAATAAGCGTTTGATGGCACTTCACTGGTTGGGGGTTGGAAAGAGCCGAATCTACTATAGTTGGAAGTTGCGATGGAAAAGCAAACGGAGATGTCTGTCTCGGGATATTACCCAACGTATTGGGTGCGTATGGCAGCCGTGAAATATCAAAGAGCGTCGGATTTCTGGCATCTACAGCCAGCAATGCAGCGAAAGGAGCGGAAGGATTCAAGTTTGGGAAACATTGTATCCAACGTCAGTTACTCTGCGGTATCTAAGAGTGCCGGCAGACGTGTGGAAACGGTCATCCAGGCGAGCCAGGCTTTCGGGAAAGAAGCAAACCCAACATCCCATCCATCCCACTCCCCACCTCCGACCCCTTGCCACAGGCGAATCCGGAACCAAGAACCGCCTGTTGCGGATCGACATGATCAGTCGGCGCAGCGGCCCAGGCCTGGATTGGTTGCCCTAATGCGCACTGGGTCAAGTGGCCCGAGGTGATGGCGGAGCTGAATCGAGATCACTTGTTCCAGGTTGGTAGTCCAAGCGAAGAGCGAAAACAGCACACTGGCAGACTGGCACTTGCAGCTGTGACATCGTGGGGGACTCGGATTGGGGCCGCGTTTGCAGACTGCCCACGATTGCATTGCGCAAGACGTGGTTGGTCGATACGGACCATCGAGGCGCCAGAGAGAGAAAAAAGCATTCTGCGTGGTGGTGCGGAAATTGTTAAGCCGCAACTGGTTACCGACGAGGACCGCGAGTGCCAGCAAGCAGAAAAACTTGCCTGGGAAGGAGAGTTCATGACATGTGGGTGCACATTTTCCGTTGGGTATTTCAACACAACTGCCTGGGGTCACGCCATCTCATCTCTTGGGTTGTCAGGAGTGTGGTGTGACAGGTGCCAGCTGACTGGATCACCTGCAGCAGCCGATGATTAGCCTTAACATGTCTAACCTGGTTGATGATTTGTACAGTTACTACAGTACCCTAGCGCTGTGCATTAGGCATTCCCAGCACTACGGACACTGGTCAAAATTTATCTCAGTGCTCAGACCTTCCAGGCGTGCGGGCTTGGACAGAAGTGCAGCCATTTTACTGTACAAATTTGTCGCACTAAACATTGCACTAGACATTTTGGGCATATGACCCACTTTTTGCACAGAACGCCTGAGAAGAAGGTCTGAGTTCAATAACCGGGTTCCCCCCATTACTCCGATCGCTTCCCATACAAATGGAAGTCAGACCCTCTATTCAAACCACAACCTCTCCACCAAAATTGTCGTATAAAGATGCAAATTAGTCTCTAAGGATGGCAAGACGTAGGCAAATCCAACGGTGTAATTTTTATATAGGTATCTTGTCGGGAAGGTGTTGAGGTTGCGGCATGGGTGTGTCAAATTACTCCGATCTTTTTCTCCTGTTGTGTTGCCCCCTATCAACTTCGTCTACAATGGAATAAACCGCTTCAAATTATACTAGTATGTTCGCCTTGAGCAAGAGATCCTTAGACACCTGCTCGCGTAGAGAACTGGGTATCCTTGAGTGTGGTTTGCAAGGCAATACCTAGGGCCGTCGAATTCACTCGAATCGCTGAGTAGGTGGCTAGAAAACGCGACTCTAGGGCCAATTCTCTGTCCTTGAAACTCGCTTTATTCCAGAGCATTCGAGCTCTATACCGCTATTGCACATACGTGCCATGTAAGTGCTAGCGAGACTCCCTACCCAGCTGCCTAGGAGGGTTATAAGTAGGGTGCGCCTGGGCTGGGCTAACTTGACTGCTCTCTGGAGAAAAAAGGTATTGGTAAATAGCGCTTTCTTCAAGGATTCTAACTTACCAACAGCTTGTTAATATAGTCAAGATTGACAACGTTGTGGTGGTTGGCGTAATTGGAAGTGATCGGAGTAATGGGGGTTTTCCGATATTGCACTCAGACCAGTCTGGGCGGGTTGGCGGTGTATTGGTGGGAATTTTTTGATTGGTTGCCTGACTCCACTATTCCCAATTGGGCCCGCCCAAAGACTGGTCTGAGTTCTGAGATAAGTCAAAATGCAGTTAGCGATGTGATGCCTTGAGTGACGGGAGTGGAGCGGCCCTCAGCCGGAACACCATCCGGTCTTGTGCGCAGCGGAAGCGAGGCGGCGCCGGGCACTAAGGTAACGTTATCAGCGTACCCACTCCGTAACGTTATCGTTTCCGGGGTTGACCCTCTGTTCGTCTATTTCATTTGACCCCCACGGACTCTCGTCACAAGCTCTCATGATTGCACTACTACTTCCATGATTGTGATGCTACAGTTAAATGAACCTACTTGAGCTACCTAAAGGCCAGTTTCTTTTTTCCTGACACGACGCGGCGACGCAGCGAGGACATGTCGTCCCGTACTCAGGTAAGTTGCATGATAACTTGTATGTACAGTACAAGTACGCTATTTAGCTCCGTCTGGTGTCAGATGTGCGTTGCTGACGAAGGCGAAGATGCTAGTGTGTAAAAGCGCAAGTTTGACACCCGTATCCGTACAGGCCTCCGGGTTCCGGAAGGGAGCTTTATCGAATACTGTGGATATACAGCAGCCCTTCATTAAAAATCTGAAGCTGAGGGATGTCTGAGAATAAGCATAAGCGTAACGATAATTTGGAGCTCGACGTGAGAAAAGTGATCAAGCAAAGGAAAACGAATTTAACTTCTACATTTGTCTCTGAATGAACTAATGCTTGTTGTCGGTGCTTTTACCATGTATTATTGTGTGGACGAGGCGAAACGACGCGAAGTGTGAGAACCCCCTTGGACATGATATATGTCTGGGTCTTGGGAGTCCGGCCCGGTTCCGGGTGTCCCGAGAGTTTGGTACGCTGGGGTCGCCGGGCAAGGAACGGCACCAATCATTGAACCTGTCACAACCATAATTTGCGCGGATGGCACGATCAGTTTTACGACAATAATTGTCTTCCTTTTTCCTCAAACATTTTCTACTTGCCATGATAGGCCTCCTTGCTTCGGCAATGCCGAGCCTGTCTATCCGTAGACCGGCTCTTGTTTTTGGTATCCTGTCCCGCCTTCAACTAACGCCTCGACGCCGAAGTGTAAAACGCAAATGTGCATTGGAAAATGCAGCAACAACCCATGACGCCCGAAGCAACCAAGACCTTCTAACCGAGCAGGTTGATGTATGGTTCGGGCCAGCGGCCCCATACCAGGGGCCGATTCCCTAATCTGCCGCTGACCGGAGAAAGGATCTTGAGCCGCCTTCTATCTTCGTCAACATCCGCAACTGCCACAAATCCCAACACCGGTGCTTGTTGTATTGTCTCCGGTGGGTCATTCACGGAGGCATTCATGACTGCCAATGTCCAGTGAGACATCTCGGCTGTTATCTCCGCAGATTCGAGGGTTTGGTGAGAATTGTAGAGATCGGGTTCTGCCTGGAGGTTAGCGTGGCACAACTCCATGGTTGTGGTGGGCAGGACTGTTACCATCGGGTGCCTTGAAAATAACCACATCATCGAAACCCACGGATTGTGTAAACGGGCTCAGCGTTCTCTTCGAGTCGCCGAAGAAGTACTCTTTGATAGCAGCTTCTCGGAGGAACTTCATGAAATCTCTGTCTCGCTCCGCAACCCCGTCAGATTTGTCCAAGAGGACAACCGTGATTGGTTCCCCGTAGGTCGTCTTCTCGTTCTCCAGAATAGTTTGTAGCGAAGCATTCAGCCCAGCCGAGCCAAGGACGACAACAATGTTCACTTGCAACGAAGTCAGCCGGCATCCATAACAAGCACACTGCTTTGAGAGACATACCCGCAAACTCCCGCACAGCATGCAGCAGGATCTCAACCTCCCCTTTCACCGCGGTTACAGCGGGTGTGTCCAGCACCAGCCCACCAGACCGCACTGCATCATCCGACGATAGCTTGGCGCGTACCGAGCTAGCCAGCTTCGTAACAAGATCTTTCCACAACGGCATATCCTCCTCGACCTTCTCCCTCCCATAGTAATACACCATGGGAAGCTTGACGGGCACGAGACTAGGCCCACTGCAGGGCGTGCTGCTGACCCCAAACCCGCCCGTCGGCTCCTCCACATCCATTATGGTCCCGAAGACGGCCGCGCTGACCGTCCCCGGCAGCGACAACAGCCCTTCTCTCGGATCGACGTTGGCCACGAGCGGCTGCTCACCCATGCGCGTGGCAAGTGCCGCGAGCGTCCTGGCAAGCGTGGTTTTCCCCGTATTGTGCGGACCGCAAATCATGACCCTCGGTCCTCGTCCCCGCCCGCCACTGCTGCTCCTCCGTTGAGTCTGCAGGGTAAAATGGAGGTTGAGGTAGCTCAGCATCGGCGTGTCCTCGGGCGCAGCGCACTGTGCGACATAGTCTTCGACTTCGCCGCTCACTTCGAGTGAGCAGCCTGTGTAGGTGAGAATTTTGGACTTGGTGCGGGCAAAGGTGTAGTTGTGGTTGAGGGCTAGCTCAGTGCCGTCTCGCTCGGCAGTCCCGCTCAGGAGGCGCACCGACACGCCGGGACCAGATGAACTGCGCGGGACCTGGAAACGCCACTCCCAGAATGGGCGGAGGGTGATTGTGCGAGTCGTCGAAGGGCTGGGCTGGGGAGGACGGGTTAGCTAGGAGCATTCTTTGACTTGTTTTATGGAGCTATTCGCGGGGCATCGAAAAGCAGAGACGAATCTTGATCATGGAAGAAATGCATACCTGAGGCGCAATCTCGCCTAAACCCGGAATAGACATTTTGTCTAACGCATCTGTTTGACTGGCTCAGGGCTCGCGTGTGAATTCGGTGTCTGTCTGAACTCTGAAGCGTTTAAGCTTAAGCAGGTACTATCACATGAAGTGAAGTTGGGACGGTAGATGTTGTTACAGTCCAGTGCATATTGATAACAAAAAATGTAACGTACCGTAATAATACCACTAGTACCAATTTTACAGTGTATTTTAGTGTACTGTACTGTATGTTCAGTACAGTTCGACTTCAAGTTGGAACTAAACTACCTAACCTAACTGAAGTAACCACAACACTGGGGTCTTTCATGCTAGTAAATAACGTGGGCGAATGTTCTTATCTTCCTTCTCCAGAAGTCCCTGATGGGAACTCTACTATTTGTCCATGTGTAGATTATGTACGCCCAGATTCGCTACGGTTGGCTGGGGCCTTTGCCCTCGGTACGGTATACCGGTCCTCATCTCAAGCGCAGAACACATCACGACAACCTGAAGCTATAAGGATAACTAATGCCTTACAACGTCAGAACGTTTTCAGCTTTTTAGCGGAACTCTGGAAGAGCAAGACGCATGGGAAAAGCATAAGTTCTATTTAACGGTGAGCTACATACATGAGTGTCCAAGACAGGGGTATTGTTCTAAACATTCCAATACAAGCAATCCTCCAACTCCGCAGCTCATAACGTATCATGATGCCCATATCAGGGGTGGAACTCCACCAACGAGGGGAAATAAGAAGTTCGTCAACTCGTAAATGACCTAGTGGGCTAGCTCCTCGAAGACCTTGATCAGACTTCGAACGCCGAGTAAGCTGTTCTCGTCCGGGCCCTGCCCAGGCACCCAACTGGCGTGCGCAAAATCGATCAACTTGAGGGAGTAAATCCGCGGAAAATCTGAAAATTCTTCCTCGTCTTCCTCGTCTTCCTCGTCGTCCATCCCAATGTCCCCCGCAAGGGCCATTAGATCAACATTTCCTTGGATAGGGCCAGAAAGCAGCCGCGCATCAACAGCCCCGTCCTTCTGTTGTGTTAGAATGATCTCGCCGTTGCCGTCCATCGCGATGCCACTGTCAACGCGCGACGTGCTGGGGGTAGTTTTGATATCTCTGACCTGTTCCTTCTTCCCCTCTTGCTCCGAGCTCGACGAGCTAGGGGCCGCCTTCTCGATGGCGGCCCGCAGCGCCTCGCCATCCCCCTCGAACGTAAATAGCAGGCTTGCCGAGTACATCCTGGTCTCCTCGCTGGCGAGGACTTGCTCAACCCTCCTGAGATCTTCGAGGAAAGCCTGAGCAATGGCCCTCCCAAGATCCTCGTCGATACCTGCCCTCTCATTGAAGATAAACTTCCGGAGCTCTTGCACGACATTGTCCTGGTTTACCTCTAGCCTGCCATAGTCCTTGTCGTAGACTTTGTAGCCCTCGGAGTCCAGCTCGTCCGGGTTATCAGAGCCCTTGTATATGCGCATGCCCGCGATCCGAAAGCCGTGTGACCCATTTGTGCTCGTTTCACTGATTTTGTCAAACCGTCGCCGCTTTGCCATGGGTGCATCATCGGCCCATAAGCGCCGGCCGAGCTTCGCGTCTAGGATGTTGGGTCGCTTGAAGCCATACGCCGCGTTCTCTAAGACAACTGACTTGTTCGTGACGATTTTCCTATTCTGGTTCGGCTGCCAATCAACAACTTCGGACTGCACGTTTTCTGCTGCCGCATCGACCGCAGCTACCTTTGCCATGAGCACCGCTTGGTCCTTGACCTCCTTGCTCAGGAGTTCGTTGACAGCCGGAAGCTGCTCGTCGACAGAGTCGACGTCGGTTGCGTCATTGAGTGACAGGGTGCCGAGATAAACAGGCATCAGCTCAGCAAAGTTCGGGTGTTCCTTGAAGGCAGTTTCGTAAAAGTCGATCTCCTGCTGTACACAGGGCTTGATGAAAAGCTCGCCATCAGGGTCGCACATGGTTCCATCACTACCGACATGGTTACCATCTGAAATCCATCCACAGGGATGGTGACGCAGAACTTACTGTCCCGCAACCGCGAAATTATATGGCTGGAGATCCGCGTGGTTTGGAAGTTCTCTTGTGCCCGGCATGTTTTTGACGGCCATTGACAAGTCGTGAGTCGCAAAGATGTCCCAAGAAAGTTACGGGAAAACCGATTAAGTTTTTTGGCGGCGGCTTGGAGGTCGACGCGCAACTTATACTAAGAGACAAGAGGTTTCCGGTCACGATGAGGGCTTGCATCTGCGTGGAACCAACGAAAAACGCGTTAACCGCCAGGAGAATAACCGCTCAACTAGATCTGAAACCACAGGACTAACGTGGTCAGAGAATGGGCGACCATGGTAGCGTGGTTAAGAGATGGGAGACCATGGGATTTTCAGCAGACAGGAGGTTCGTAGATGAGATGGTTGAGTCGGCATTCGCGACATTGGGGCGGAGCAGGCTGCAGAAGGCGAAAGGGATCTCCCCGTCGACTCCGCACTCGCAATGCCAAGATCGGTCGTGCTCAAAGCCTTGGGCCAAGGGCAGCCAATGGGACACCCTCAAGTACCCAGTTTGTGGGGCGAGGCCGTCAGGGCGGAACGGGAGGGCTCTCTTGGGTTGTCGTCACTGCCCCATGCAAGTGTTGGGGCTGAATCTTGGGTCGTCCGCTCGCAACCCAGCGGTGCTGGGGTGGCGGCGGCAACACCCGCGCAAGGCGCACTACAGAGTACATACAGGCACATTCTTCGTTTGCTCCGGTACTCTGACCTTTTTGGTCAGACGGAAAAGTTAAAAAGCACTCTGGAAGCATATCACAGCCACGGTTGCCCATTCTGCCTCGCTCTCCCCTTCACTTCATTGGAACTGCACTTCATGCAAATTTCTCGCTGACTGCAGCATCTCCCTCGGATACCGCCCGGACATTTTTCGTTCTCTTAAACTTCGTAATCGAGTAGGCCTTCGATTACTGGCCGGCGCTTGTTGGGTGGCCGGATGCGAGGTGGGCATCGATACCCAAGTTCCTATGCGAGATCCGGCCAGTGACTTGAGGGATTTGTGATTAAGTGTTAGACAGTTTTCTGCTTACGAAGGACATGGCAAAGCGTTGTCTTTATGTGTCTTGTACAGTTTCTGACGTGATACAGTGTTTCGCATGCGACACTAGATTACGAGTTGCTAGGTAAAGTACCCTTCCAAGACTGTAAAAGCTGCAGAGATCTACTGCTAACTCTACAGATTCCTCTCCTGGTGTGAATGGCTCCGCCCGATATGTCTGTCCCTTGTCGCCCGAGAGCAACTGTTGGTGCTGAGGGAGATCGTTGGCCGGTATTTCCAATCAGCGGTGTATGAGCGTGGCTTTTCCCAACGGTGCTGGACCGTTTGTCCCAACTGCTATTGTCTCACCCAGTAGGTTTTCGCGTTGGGAACTCTTCTGCGGATAAGGGGAACAGCAAGGCGCTTCCATCTTCAGGATCTGGACATTGCGGCTCCTAATTGCTCGCCAGCCCAGCATCTGTGCGTGACGGGCGACTCCATTTTGGGACCAAGGCTCGTGTGAACCATCCACCGCATGACTGACCATCGTTGTACGAAGAGTGAACAGCATCATTCTGAGGTGATTGGAGTGGAAGGACTCAGATTAGATGAAAGATCCAACGTCATAAAGTACTACAGAGATTCTGTTCGGTTCAATTCATGAATGGGTGGCTCCTTCCTCTATGTTTCTACTGGGGGCAGTTTGACTTGCTCTCAAATTTCTTTCTTGTTTCCTACAGCAAACGCACAATTTCGGGTAGGGAACACTGACAAACAAATCTTGGTTCGCCCTCTTCAAGCTGCAGCAAACCACGTTTACCAGACTGATCCTCTTGGATTGGCAGTCGACCTGCCTTTGCCCAAGTTCCAAATTGAGCACCCACTGCCTTCAGGCTAACTATCACAGCAACCCGGAATCACATCTGACTTACCAGACTAAACTCACTTCTTTGGCAGCATCTGCAAGGATGTCGTCCCCTCCAATGGCTGGCGCTGCGGAGGATTTGCAGGGCGACCCGCCGAACGAAGACCTGCCCGAGAATCTTGATATGGGCAAGATCCAACTGCAAGATGACAAGGCGCAGGAAGGCAAGAAAAAGAAAAAGAAAAGCCGCAGCGCCAAGAAGAAAATCACTGGATTCGAGGGTGAGTCTTCCCATCTAATTGAGAGGCTTCGATCTCGACATTGCTCGCAACTGTTCGCAGTGGCTTATGCAAGCTAGAGTACTACTGCGACCCTCCCATAACACCAGCCGAGCACATTGAGGAGCAGGAGGTTATTTACGCACCGCACCGCCCCTTCGTCGACCGCATCGAGGAGTGTATCCAGCGGTACCGTGCTCGTCGCCGTCTGGGCCCAGAGCGTGAAAATCTGTTCTCCAAGTATCTCACTCTTGGTGGGGTCGATGCCACGGTGCGCCAGTTCCAGGGCACGCGAGCTCTGGACAATGATGTCCTGAAGGATGCCAGCAAAGCAACAGTCCGAGAGATAACAGCTGATGATGTGATTCAACGCGGTGGCGATGGGAATCTCGCCTCTCGCTTCTACAACCCCAACCACCCCGAGCATTGGGACGTCGACTTCACGGGCGTTGCTGCAGGATTCTTGTGAGGTTCTACCATCTGCCTTTCTGAGACACCGGACGCTAACATGCTTAGGTCTGAACACCTCCCAACAATGGCTGGGTCGGATACCAAATACTACCAAATGGGCGTCGAGGTTGTTCTCAACTTCCTCAAGTATGTCGACATGCACGACGTCTGTCCTGAGTATCACGCCGACGTCATGGGTGCACAGCTTGTCTGCAAAAAGGCTCTACATGAGATGCCTGCTATCTGGAAACTTTCTGACCTGCTGCCCGGAGACTTCAATACCGCAGTCAGCATAGTCTACTGCAAGACGGGAGAGGAAAGAATTGTTTCTGGCAATCAAGCTAGAATGGCTGCTGACCGCAAGTATGCCCAACTCAGCCAGGGAGCCACCCTGGCTATTATACTCGGGAACAAGACTCTTCCAACCGACTACAAGCCGACCGTTACAAAGACAATTGCGCTGTCCTTCGAGGTCTGCAAGATCAACTTTCCAGATGTTGTCGCTCGAGCGAAGTACATATCTATCAACAGGTACCTTTCCGAATATCCCGACATCAAGCCTTGCGGAACCTTTACTGCGCGCCCAGTCGTTATCCGAGACGGTTGGGAGAATACCATGGTAGATTCGATTCCCGAAGAGTACTTGGGCGAGTCGTGCTTCGTGCTGGAGGAGGAAATCCTGAAACTCTTGAACGTGGGAATGAAGCTGACCATGCGAGTCGGCACTTTCGGCTATATCGGCCTTAGATTCATCGAGGAAATCAAGAGCGTCAAACCGAGTTTCTACGTCTTCTTACCGCAGGAACTGATGCTCCAGTTCAAGGAGCCTGTGCTCAATCCTCGTCCGGCGCCAAGTTTTCACGACTTTGACGGTAGCGGGAACCTCTTGGATGGGATTCCGGATGGCGGTGATGATGAGTAAAGGATGAGGCTGGTTGCGGGCGTTCTTTGGTTGCGGTTGGGGTCATCAATGAGATACAGGGGCTGGGAGGCCGGCGTCGTTGGGCAGATACCTTACACCTAAATGAAGGTATCTAGGTATGGAGCTGGCTAGCTGAATCGACCCCGTTTCTTAGAGTCCTCCCAGGTCGAGTTATCTTCAGTTATTGCCGTCAGAATGCAGATACCCTACCTTAGGCTCTGCGTCCGTTTCACTGGTGGCACTCTTGCGAGCTTCCATCATTCGTACTTGTGTTGGGCTAGACCTCGGCCGTGCAAGAGCCGGAAAAGGATCTGAATGAGTGACATAGAACTAGAAAAGTCACGTAATTATTCCTGAGTGCTTCCGAAGAAGTACCACAACATGTTGGTTCCAAGCAACGAAGCAGTGTGCCCAACCGCCATAGCCGCTCAATCATCCGAGCAATCAGCAAATGCATCCGTTCCAACATCGTACACAAAGCGTGAGATCCCGGCGTTGCCCAACGCCTCATCAATGCCCAAACCTCCGGTTACCCGCCCTCATCGTAAATTATCACAAAGCAAATTTCAAACCGACCAACCCAGTTGCGCGTATGGGACCCCATCATTCCGCCTAACACGCTGTCACAAAACTCCCCGGCTTACCAACGGATCACCGCTTGCCTTCGTCCCAAAGCCACAGCAAGTGCTTCAGAAATATCTCCATTAGTCCTGCGTCTGAACCTTATGGTCGCCGGCCACGACCTGTGCGTAGCTCGGCGGAGGAGCCCCACCGTCGCTGGGCCCTGCCTCAGCAGCGTTGGTAGTGCCCTGCTCTTGCTGCTGCTGCTGGTAGTGCTGGGATGGTGCTGCTGCGCTTGCCGAGGCGGACCCGCCCTGAGAGGAAGTCGTGCCGTAGTTCATGGGACTCTGCGCCCCGGGCTTTGGCTGGGCGAAGCCCTGCTGCTGCTGCGGCGGTTGGCCGGCAACAAACACGTAGATGCGCCCTTGCTCTGCACCCGGGACCGCCTCGTAGTCGTAGTCGTAGGGCGGCTCGGGGTATTTCGCGATTATGTACCAAGCGTGGAGGAGGCCGGGGATCTGTGAGATGGGTTGTTAGTTAGGCATGGGGCTGCGGGACGGACTCGACCCTGGGCGACTGGAAGACGTACATAGCCGAGGATGAAGAGGAGGATGTTGATGATTGAATCGGCAGAGCAGAGACCGCGCTTTACCCAGACTGAGGGTGAGCAGACCAGAATGTTAGTCGGATGATCCTCAGTCAAATCGGTGATGGCATTGCGTGAGCGCAAGCAGGCAGCCAGCCAAGGGTTGAAGGCGGGGTGCTCGCGGGGTTACGAACCTGGCAATGGCGGGAAGAGGACGGCCAGAAGACCGAGAAAAATATCGGTTGAGCACATGGCGGCGAGATTGTCGACGATGAGGTGAAACTGGGCGACAAAGTCTGTTGGTGTTCGAAGTGTGGAAAGGGAGATGTTATGGAGGATCGAGGAGAACGTCTGTCAACTGATGCACCACGGGACCAGTGATGCAAGAATGGGTCCCTCTTACAGCCAGGCTGACAGCTGACAGGCGCCAAGAAGTGGCTTGCGTAATGCTGTGCATGAACGCTCCAGGTCGGTCTGGAGCCTGCGGAACGCATGCCTCCAGGGTCAGGATTGAATGCTATTCTGGGTCGTAAGTGTATACAAAGAGCCCTAGCAATATTCGGAATATTCCAACATTTCACCCTCGCTGATACCCACGAGATGCTGCTTCCTGAATCATTATGCAGTGTCAGTGTCGGTCGGCACCGCAGAACGAAATGTCCACATCCCCAAGCGATCTCGTCGCTCGAGCACCGTCCTAGGTAAGTGGAGGCTAACTGGGCTCGAACTGAGTTAGTGGCTTGGCGGGACCGTTAGCTCAGCTGTGCTGCTGTGGAGCCGGAAAGGCGGTCGCAAAATCCCCGGCAGAATTGAGCTGTGGCGGCTTGATCCAGTGGCATAACTTCCGCTGTCGAGGCATACTGCTGCATCTACCAGATTTGAACTCGACAACCGCAAAAGTCAACCATTTGACCTGGCCTTTCGGCCCTTTTCTCGCCGCCCCGGACCTGGGTGTATTCAACACCAAATCGATAAGATGGACGATTTGGAGTCTCTCGAGCTGCTTTCCCTTGTGTCGAAAGTCACATCGGAATTGCAGAACCACATCGGCATCAGCGAGAAGACGCTTGCCGAGTTCGTCATCGCCCAACGGCTCGAATGCGCTAGCTTTGCGGATTTTAAGGCCAAGCTGGCCGCCGTCGGGGCCGACTTCCCCCCAAGCTTGGTAGAAAGTATCGATCGCCTTGTCCAGACTATGCATCCAAAGTTCAAACGGAAACAGAACGGCGGGGACCACAAGGAGGATGACGAGAAGCCCGGTCGATCAGTCGAGGAAAAGACCAGCGTGTTCAAGGGACTTGCGATCCCTGACAAGGAGGCAACTGCCATCGACGATACCCTGGCATTACTGGAGAGTCTGGAACCCAAGGGACCCGGCAAGGAACCGTCAACCCGAAAGCGCAGCCGAACCCCGGACGACTACCGAGACGATTCGAGGCGCAAGCGTAAAGAGAGATATCGATCCAGATCCAGATCAAGATCAAGATCCCCTCCGCGGGGACGACGGAAGAGCGGTCGCTACGAGGACGACGACGATTTCCGCCGACCACCGGCCCAGGAACTGGACGACACGCCCCAGCTTTACAAAGTCTACGACGGCCATGTCACCGGTGTCAAGGATTTTGGCGCGTTTGTGAATCTGCATGGCGTGAGGGGTAAGATAGATGGATTGGTCCATGTGTCGGCATTCGGGCAACGAGTCGATCATCCGTCCGATGTGGTTTCTAAAGGCCAGGAAGTCAAGGTCAAAGTGATCAAGATTGAGGGCAACCGCATAGGCCTCTCCATGAAGGATGTCGATCAGGAGACAGGAATGGACCTCGCCCCGCAGTTGAGGATAGGATCCGGTGCCAACATGGAGGCTCTGGGTAGCGGGAGGAAGGGCGCGGGCGAACTGAACAATGGCAACGACGGTTCCTTCCAGGCGTCTGCGGCTGCTAGAAAGCAGAAGAAGCGGCTGACCTCGCCAGAGAGGTGGGAGATCCGTCAGATGATCGCCGCCGGGATTGCAAAGGCCTCCGACTACCCGGATCTTGAGGAAGAATACAACGCAACGCTCCGGGGCGAGGCGCAGATGGAGCTGGAAGAAGACATTGATATCGAAATCCGCGACGAAGAGCCCCCATTCTTGGCGGGTCAGACCAAGCAATCTCTCGAGCTCTCGCCTATCCGAGTCGTGAAGGCGCCGGATGGCTCATTGAATCGTGCTGCCATGGCAGGAGCCAACTTAGCCAAGGAGAGGAAGGAAATACGGCAACAAGAAGCAGAATCTCAGCAGGAAAATGTCAAGGTTGACTTGTCATCCCAATGGCAAGACCCTATGGCCAATCCAGAGACCCGCCAGTTTGCCAGCGACCTGAGAAAACGAGCCCAAGCATCACAGGGGGCGCCAGATGCTGTCCCTGAGTGGAAGAAGGCCGTTGCACCCAAAGACCAGTCTCTCGGCAAGCGGACCAACATGACTATAAAAGAGCAGCGGGAGTCCTTGCCAGTGTATGCGTTCAGAGAGCAGCTTATCCAGGCGGTTAAAGAGAACCAGATTCTCATTGTGGTCGGCGAGACCGGTTCAGGCAAGACCACGCAGCTCACACAATATCTGGCAGAGGCTGGCTTCACAAATACTGGCATTATTGGGTGCACGCAGCCCCGTCGAGTAGCTGCCGTTTCCGTTGCCAAGCGTGTGTCTGAGGAGGTCGGGTGTCAACTCGGCCAGGAGGTTGGCTACACCATTCGGTTCGAGGATTGTACTAGTCCAGCAACTAAGATAAAGTATATGACGGACGGAATGTAGGTTGCTCCTCGTGTCATCATGCTTTGTCGAAGTCACTAACTTTGCATAGGTTACAACGAGAGATCTTGATAGACCCCGATCTCACGCGATATTCAGTCATCATGCTGGATGAGGCCCACGAACGGACCATCGCCACGGATGTGCTGTTCGCGCTTCTGAAGAAGACCATGAAAAAGCGGAGCGACCTGAAAGTTATTGTGACAAGCGCTACCTTGGACGCCGACAAGTTTAGCGAGTACTTCAACCAGTGCCCCATTTTTACGATTCCAGGACGGACTTACCCTGTCGAGATTCTCTATTCTCGAGAACCGTAAGCTCTGCTCGCCGCCTTTTGCTTCTAGCGTATGGCTGACTTGTGCAGTGAATCGGATTATCTTGATGCTGCTTTGACGACGGTGATGCAGATTCACCTGAGTGAACCGATGGGCGACATTCTTCTCTTCTTGACAGGCCAAGAAGAAATCGACACAGCGTGCGAAATCTTATATGAGCGAATGAAGGCACTAGGGCCAAACGTGCCAGAGCTTATCATCCTGCCGGTTTATTCTGCACTTCCCAGCGAGATGCAGAGCAGAATCTTTGATCCAGCGCCACCTGGTAGCCGCAAAGTCGTCATTGCCACAAATATTGCCGAGACGTCCATCACGATCGACCACATTTACTATGTTGTCGATCCTGGCTTTGTCAAGCAGAACGCATATGACCCGAAGCTCGGTATGGATTCGCTGGTTGTTACCCCTATCTCTCAGGCTCAGGCGAATCAGCGGGCTGGGCGGGCCGGGCGAACCGGACCGGGCAAATGCTTCCGCCTATACACTGAAGCGGCTTACCAGTCCGAAATGCTTCCGACCACCATTCCAGAGATTCAGCGTCAAAACCTCTCCACCACGATTCTCCTACTGAAGGCTATGGGCATCAACGACCTGCTCCGCTTTGACTTCATGGATGTTAGTAGTCATGGCCCCTTCCCCAAAAACCTCGCGCTTACTGACTCTATTTTAGCCACCACCGGTCAATACCATGCTTACCGCACTCGAGGAGCTGTATGCACTGGAAGCATTGGATGATGAAGGACTACTGACGCGGCTTGGAAGAAAAATGGCCGACTTCCCCATGGATCCGCCGCTTGCCAAGGTGCTGATTGCCTCTGTCGAGAAGGGCTGCTCGGATGAGATGGTAACAATCGTCTCGATGCTCAATCTTCTACAGATTTTCTATCGACCGAAGGAGAAGCAGACCCAGGCCGACCAGAAGAAAGCCAAGTTCCACGACCCTTCCGGGGACCACCTCACGCTGCTGAACGTATACAATTCTTGGAAGAATAATGGATACTCGAACCCGTGGTGCTTCGAGAACTTCATTCAGGCACGCTCCATGCGGCGAGCCAAGGATGTGCGTACCCAGATTGTCCGGATTATGGAGCGCCATCGCCACCCGATTATCAGTTGCGGACGGGATACGGACAAGATCCGGCAGGCTCTGTGCAGCGGTTTCTTCCGTAACGCTGCACGCAAGGATCCGCAGGAGGGATACAAAACTCTTATTGAAGGCACACCTGTCTACCTACACCCGAGCTCGGCGCTGTTTGGCAAGCATGCTGAGTGGGTCATCTACCACACGCTGGTCTTGACCACGCGCGAGTACATGCATTTCACTACAAGCATTGAACCGAAGTGGCTTGTCGAAGCAGCACCAACATTCTTCAAGGTGGCGCCGACAGATAAACTGTCCAAGAGAAAGAAGGCCGAGAGGATCCAGCCGTTGTATAACAAGTATGGCGGGGAGGATGATTGGCGGTTGAGCGCCCAGCGCAGAGCCGGCAGGTCAGGTGGAGGTGGCGGTACCTGGGGCTGAATGGTTCACCGGCGCTTCTCTCAGTTCAGGTTCGTCCGGGTTGATCCACGAGGTACTTAGCATGAGATGGCATCCAGGGCACGGAATTCTAGTCCTAGGTTCCTAGCTAGGTATTCGTTGGACAATTAGAGTTGGACCAAAAGACATCAAATGATACCCCTTAACAACCATTTCGGCTTCGACCTTGGGATCGAGTGTTGGCAGCTGTCAATAATTTCAAGCCTACTTTAGATTGTCGCGCAGCGGCATGCCTAATTGTGGCACAACGACACGATCGAGCAGCATGGATTAGCCGCCTGCAACTGAACGGGCAACGCCAAATGCAACAGCAATCACAACCGCTGGAAGCCGCATATCCACTCTCGTTAGTTTCAAGTTGCCCGACGGCATTCAGACCAGGCTCACCGTTCAGCAGTCAATTCGCCAGTACCAAATACCGACTCACAGACCACAAGCCTCATCTCTCATTCTCCCAATTTCCAGCCACTCATGGTCACCTTGCCTCCTTAACATCCGATTCCAGATTCCTTCAAAGCCAAAGATGTCCGCAAAACCCCTCGAGGAAATCACCTTCCCCCCCTCGCAACCACACTCGCACACCGTCATCTTCCTGCACGGCCGCGGCGACAACATCAAGTCCTTCACGCGCGCGCTGTCCAACTGGCGGGACTCGCGGGGCCGCAACCTGGGGCACGCCTTCCCATCATTCAAGTGGGTGTTCCCGCAGGCCCCCGTGCGCGTAGTAGCAGCATCAGTCGGGCAGCACGCCTTCCGCAAACCCGAATCATGGCCGCAGTGGTTCGACGTGTGGAACGTGCGCGATTTCGCCGACCGCGAGGAGCTGCAGGCCGAAGGGCTGCGCGAGATGGTTCCAATGATCCGCGACCTGATCGCGCGCGAGGCGGCCCAGCTCGGTGGCCGCTTCGACCGCGTCGTCTTGGCCGGGATCAGCATGGGCGCCGCCACAAGCGTGCACACGCTTTTCAACTTGAGCGTGTCCCCCGAGGCCGGCGGGAGGCTGGCGGCGTTTATGGGTTTCTGCTGTCGCTGTCCGTTTGCCGGCAGGGGGTTGCAGGGCATGAGGGAGGTGCTGGGCTTGCAGGGCGCGCCAGGACCGGGCGACGACGGGGTGCTCAGGGCCACGCCCATGTTATTGGAGCATTGTGTGGATGATCCGCTGGTCTTGATCGAGAATGGACGGAGGCTGAGGGATATTTTGAGAGAGTTTGGGGCCAACGTTGAGTGGAAGGAGTATCCGGTCGGCGGCCACTGGTTTAAAGACCCGGATGGGATGGATGATGCGGTGGACTTTCTGGAGAGGGTTGTTGGAAACACCCAGCCTATGGCAGCAGCGCCATCGGGGGTGATGGACTTGTCCTGAGGGGTGGCTAGACATAGAGAGCGATGGTAAGATGGATTGCGTGCAAATTTGGTTCTGTATGTATATCACTATACAGCTTTATTGAATCCATCCAACCTGGATGATTAAGGTACACAACCGACGGGCTCCTGCAGTGTTAATGAGACTGCGTCTGAACGCTGTTGGTCGTCTGTGATCATCATCGACCAGATCAGATCATTGTGCCAGCGGCGTCAACGGCGAAAACCCAGGTTCCTCGCTCCTAAAAATGCTTGCTAAAAGGAGTTAGGCTAACATCAACGCAAATTGGGAAGCTCTAGGCTCTCAGAATCGTTATGAATGATCTTCCAAGTGGGGGAAGCTGGAAAGGGGGTAAGGGAAGAACCAAAGAGAGAAATGGGGAAGGAAAGGAGAATTGAAAACAAACGAAAGGACTCGGAAAGGAAGCAAGGATCTTGGCCATCAAAGCGCGGTGCTAGCATACAGCGTACCCGTCTTGACGACCCTCAGTGTTTATGACAATGCTTCATTTTCATTCGATTGGCCTAGCAGGTGAGGTTTCTCTTCCCTCGAAGCAGATACAGTACTCGGATCCGAGTTGGCGCCTTTGGCCAATCCAGAACGACTCAAGCTTTCCCTTGCCGTGTCCGCCAAGCTTGATATGTCCCAAATCAAAGTCTAACTCACCTATCCACAGTCGATTCTCGCCGGTACCTCATGACCCTTGATATTGTCGCTATTGTACGATGTGTTCCCTATGACGCTTGCTATAAGGGTTATGAATATGATGTCTTCTTGGGCCTCAGTGTTTGCACGCTTTCGATTTCCGCTATCAAATCTGCAGTCCGTGAATCCTCTTACGATAGAACCAACAAGTAAGACGGCAATAGGCACCCAGTCCACACATCCTTTAGCACCCGTCAGCACAGCCCAGAGTGTTCCACAAAACGGCATTGATGGTGGTCAGAGCCTACCGGCTGAAGGACAAACGCCGAGTTTGCAAGTCCCGAACCGGAAAAGGGTGTGATGGCTTGCAGGATGGCTTGCGACATCCATCATGTGGCGGGTTGGTCGGGTTCAGCCCCGATCTAATCATCCCCAAATTAAATCCTATGATAATTCGCACCGAACCTGGAGATGGCGTCAGGCGACGGTATAGCTCAAGTATCGATACCATTATGTTGAAGCTGCTCTGTTGCTTCAGGAAGAAAAGGCCTGCTGGGAAGGCTCGGGGCCAAGAGGTAGATCGCGACTCATCTAGTGACAGCATTCGGCAGGTAGTGCAGAGAGTGCTCCGCTCTCTTGAGACAAACGATGATGAAGAGGAAAAGCAGAAGCAGGTGGAGGAAGCAATAGGATCGCAGCCTAGGGCTATATTCAGCGTCGTCAAAGAAGAGGCGAGCACAACGTCCCCATCAGCAAAGAAGCCAGCCCTGGCTGGCTCCGTGTCGAGCGAAGACGGAGACTGGGTCAATAGCATCGGCGAACAGGGATGCACACCCCTGAAAAAGGTCAAACCCCAGTCCCTCCAGGACGTTGTCGATGTCGTCAACGAAGCGCGTCAACTCGGACAGCGAGTTCGCGCGGTTGGCTCCGGACACAGCTTCTCGGACGTTGCGACTACGGATGACGCTGTTCTTGTAAACCCAATTCTTCTCAACGACGTTCGGGCTGTCGATGCCCAACTTCTTCGAGATGGGGCTGTGAAGGAAGAAGGAAACACGCTCCTTTATGTCCAAGCAGGCATCACTGTCAAGAACCTCAAGGTTGAACTCGACAATCGCGGGCTTGCCCTCATCAACATGGGTGGTTACGACGGCCAGACCATCTCCGGGACCCTTTCAACCGGAACCCATGGCTCAGGAATAACGTTCGGGCCCCTTGCCAGCTTCGCCCACGCAATCATCCTCGTATCCGAGTCCGGCACGGTCTACCAGATCGAGCCCGGAGCAGGCATCACCGACCCCTCCAAGTTCACCGGCGGCCTGGATACTGTCCCTATCACCCTTATTCAGTCCGATGCCTGGTATCGTACTGCCCACACTTCCCTGGGCTGTCTGGGCGTTATCTTCGCGTATATCCTCGAGGTTACACCGGCGTACTCAATCCGAGAACAGCGCGCATCGACGACATGGTCGGACATCAAGAAATCGCTTTCCCCAGCCGCTTGGTCAACCGCTCCACCAACTCTGGTCTCCAAGCCAGACCACTTTGAGCTGATCCTCAACCCGTATAAACGATGGTTCCGCCACGCGTGCGTGACCGTCTCGCGGACGCGGCTGCCGGGGACACATCATCCGCAGGTTGGGCAGCGGCAGGACTGGTTGTCGAACTTGCTGCAGCAGATCGCGGTTGAGCGGACGCCGGATCTTGTGGCCATCTTGCGCAAATTTCCGTTCCTCTCTCCTCTGGCCATTGACCAGGCTATCATGACGGTGGCGGGACATGACGGCGACGGTGACGGCCGCGCAGATATCTACGTCGACAAGAGCTTCAACGTCTTCACGCTGGGAACGGCCAACGAGATCAAAGCGGTTGCCATGGAGCTGCATTGTGAGGCATCGCGCTGCGTACCGACGATCGATGCCCTCCTTGAGGTGTTTGAGGGCTTGGCGGAAAGGGAACGTTGGTACATGGCCGGCCCGCTGGGCATCAGGTTCGTCGCGGCCAGTGAGGGTTATCTGGCGCCTCAGGCAGGGAGGATGACGTGTACGATCGAGTTGGCAATGCTGGTGGGTTTGGATACGGGGAAGGAGTTAGCCAAGAGGGTGAAGGAGACGGTTTGTACGAGGGATGAGACCTCTGTGAGGGTCCATTGGGGACTTGACTTGGACTTTGTAACCAAGGAAGACGTCAGGGCGTGGTATCCGGATTTCGATCGATGGTTGGAGGTCTATAAGGGCCTAAACACCACGGGTATGTTCAATAATCGGTTCACCGACAGACTCGGGATCAGTATGTGAAGGGAGGAGTTTGGTTGGATACCCTACATCGTGCGCAGGAAACGGTCGCTCTTTACTTTCAGGTATCTAAGGACTTACTCAACCTTGCCTACAGGTAGTAGTCGCAGTGCTTCGCTCTTGCTTTTAGGCTATGTCATGGGGGTGGGCCAGTCTCCGTTCCTTTCTCATCATGAGTGATCCTCAGACGCAATTTGTGGTTCAGATCGAGCCAGGGGAGGAAATGGGTATTACGGCCCAAAAGTAACACATGAGTCACAGCAGGAACCATGGTGTTGAAGTGAAAATCAAACGCTATATTGTCCAAACCTCCCAGAGGTGGACTACCCTTCCATGACCATCCATTGCCATTCCATCAAAAACAAAAGCCCATCAAAAACAAAGAACAAAAGTCCATCAACAACAAACCCAAACGCCCATCACAAACAAAGACCAAAAAGTGCCCCAATTCGAAACCGTTTCCAAAAGCAACGCTTTCCAACTTTCCTCCAGTCATCACCTTCCCTTTCACCGTCCTCATGCTCTCTGACCATCATCAATCCTTCCCGAAATTCTCCTCATAAACCTTAGTCAAGACCTCCAACCAGTTCTCCAAGATCGTCATTGTTTCTTGCACGTGACACATTCTTTCATCGTCGCTTTCGTCTTCGTCTTCTCGATCTTCATCAACTTCTCCAGCTTCGACACCATTGCTTTCAATATCACCACCTTGTTCAAGTCTCATCATCTCTAAGTGGTTCATCTCCTTCCGACAGCTCTCCAAAACATTCTCGTATAATTTAATAAGCAGTAGCACCCGGAGCTTGGCCGCGTGGCGCTCATCTCCCGCGTTGCTCTCTCCCGGGGCCAGCGCCTTGGTGAGCTCGTCCATCAACAGCTCAGCCCAGATCCGCAAGCTAATGGAATTGCTTGTGCGGTGATTGCCCAAGCCGAGTCTGAATGACATTGACGGCTTTGGTAGCGAAGAAAAAGATACCTGGGACAAGCGGGACTGGTTGCGCGGCTTGATTACGCTGCTCATGAAATGGCGCGGGTATTTGGTAGGCTCAACATCTACTTGAGCGAGTGGTATTGATGGTGGACGTTCTGTCCATGCAGCCATTGTTGTTGGCGTTTGTGCTTGGAGATGGATATCCTGCACTGTTGGCATTGATAATCTCAGCGCGACCAGGGAGCCTCTACGTGCTCTGTTTCCACACTCGACGGCGGTCGTGGAGGATGTGACATCAGTCCACGTTGATGGCCGGAGAAGTGGTTTGTGTGCAGCACCTGGTCGCTGGACTGTCTGTGAGTGACATGGGCTCTGACAAGCGAGCCTTTGTCAACTCACCAGCCGGCAGCTACCAACTTCACCAAAGTCGGGAAGGATAGAACGATAAACCTCTGCAAGCTCGACCGCTCTGTCATTGACTGCGGGCTTTTCGGCTGCGGATGATGCGCTAGCCAGGCTCGTTGCATGGTTCATCTGAGCTCTTTCCCCCCCTGTTGATACTACGTGGTTAATACTGTGGTCTATGGAAGTGAAGGTTTGGTAGATGGGCAGACTTGGCAAATCAGGCACATCTGCCAATGCAGCCCCAGACCGTCGCGCGCCCTTCGCGTTGGAATGGAAAGAAGTATAGCGCCGCAAGAAGTCGCGGAAACCAGTTTTATCCATGAACAGGATGCGACGGCGCTTCACTTTGGTCTTCTTGGAATCGCCATCTGAAGTCTGCGGCCTGACGGCACCGCGAATCCAAAAGAAAGACGCGATCGACGGCATGTTTCTAGTTTGTGTAGTTTGTCACTGTGTCTTTTGTGAACCTTGAAGTTCTTGCTTCTTGCTTAATTTGCTCCTTGAGAGAACGCGAGATGGATTCGAGACGCGAGCGCAGAAGACAATCAGCAGTGTTCTCAGTTCTGTAAAAGCCAGTTGGATGTAAATGGGAAGAAGAGAGGAAGTTGGACACGTAACGCGCTCGCCCTCTTATACTTGGGGAATCACATGCTGGTGGCAAACTTTCCAAACCTTATTCCAAAGTTCCAAACCTTATGGCACAACTTCGGCCACCGAGCGCTACAGAGCCTACAGTGCGAACTCATGGCGACGAAGAAGGATGACTTCGACTACAGTAGGTAGTCAATCTGCCAAATCGTTGAACTGAACAGCTTGAGTTCGTCTAGATTGCTGTTTGGCAGAGGTTCTCAGGTTGGTATGGTCCAGCGTGCACTGAGCTTGATTGAGGCTGTCTAAACAGGAACCAGCCCATGAGTCCTTGACCAACCCGTCAATGACAGCAAAGCAGGCCAGTGTTAGGCATCCCGATCCCAGTAGAAATCTTCCAACGTCCTTACAAGCTGATCCAGCTTCCACCTAGCTGATACTGCAATGTCATGCCTTCGATATTTGGGACCAAAGAGGAGCGAGAGCCCCCAAACTGCATTCAAGGGGTGACGAGGAAGGATGAAAACACACGGATGTGCTATTTGATCCTTCCTTGACTTCATATCCGTGCTCGTGATGTCTGACCACGATCAATGCTACTAGATCTAGAGTATTTTGCTGTTGGCTACAAATTGAACAGTGACAGACACGAACAAGCCTGGTGTTCAAGCACTTCAACTGAGTGGTCTTTGTCTCTTGGGTTGAGCCGTCTAGAGACAATATACATTGTTTCAGTATGGTAGCTTTGTCTAAGACATTCTTACGACCAGTACACCCGGAAAGGATAGCTTCCGGCGTCGTCTTTGTTCCATGCACCGAGATATAGTCTCGTTCCATCCACCTCTTGTGACCGTATATAAAGTATTGAAACGAACTTCCAGCCGTTAAATCCCGTCTTTGGTAAACGCTATCTCGATACGAACCGGAAGGTGCTCATGCTCGAACCGGTCCCTTCGCTGAAAACTTAAGAGTTAGAAAGCAACACACCTAAGCAAACAGGAAACAACGGTGATAAAACTCCCCTTATACCCCGACCATGTCGGAACAAGACCAACAAATTCCCTGGCAAGATCGATACAAGCCAGACTGGCCCAGACCGAGCCTCCAGAACGTCGTAGCGACCGTCAACCTCGACTGCCGCTTGGACCTGAAACTCATCTCGCAGCAGGCTCGCAATGTTGAGTACAACCGCACCAAGTTCCACGCGCTGATCATGCGTATCAAAGAACCGCGCACGACGACCCTCGTCTTTGCTTCGGGCAGGGTCGTCATCACGGGCGCCAAGTCCGAGGAGCAGGCGCGCTTCGCCGGCCGACGTCACGCCCGAGCCATCCAAAAGTGCGGTTTCAACACAAAGTTCAAGGACTTCAAAGTCCAGAACTTTGTCGGGTCCGCTTCGTGCGGCTTCTTCATCCGCCTCGAGGGCCTGGCACACAAGGCGCACGATAGCGCCAAGTACGAGCCCGAAATCTTCCCGGGCCTGGTCTTCAGGATGGTGACCCCCCGCGTTGTATGCTTGGTGTTTGCTAACGGAAAAGTGGTGCTCACAGGCGCAAAAACGGAGGGTGCGGTGTTTCACGCCTTTGCGAATCTGTATCCGATGCTGTTGGATTTCAAGTTGGAGGTTACGAGTAGCAGCAAGGGTAAATCCTCGCAGACAGAAAGGTGAAGGACTCGGGAGGGACGGTGAGGAATGGCAAGAAGTGAACGGTAAGTACCTCCTGTACCAGGCAAGGCCGCAGATCGTTTAATTCAGTAGGTGCGTGATGCACCATGTCTTTGGGCAGGTACAAGGCAGAAACACAAGGATCCCAAAGGCGTGTAAGGTAGGCGAATGTAGGCTGGGAAGTTACAAATTGAGCATCAAGTCTGCCACCTAACTTGGAATTTTGTTAACACGCTTCCAAGGTTGAATGCCTGAGGCGGTGAGAATAGCCCTGGCCGGTGGAGATGATGTGTATGCGTAGTGCTTCTTTCCTTCTACCTGTGTTAAAGATGGTATCTCATTAGTTGGAGGCGTGTTACTCTTCCCGCAATGTGTACCTCTCTTGGACAACGGCAACACCTACCTACCTTAACTAGCAACCACTCACACCCTGAGCTCCGTGGTTTCCACTTCTCTTTTTGATGACGCTCTCTGAACGGGCTCCATCTCAACATGCAGTGCCTTGTCCACATTCCGCTCCACTTTCTCTTGCACAGCCTTGCCCTCGAAAATGAAGCTGAGCTCTTCGAGCGTGCGGTTATGCGTCTCGGGGAACAACCAATACACGGTGGCAATCTCGACCAGGATCCAGACACAATACACAATATAATACCTCCACCCAATGGCATCAAGGGCAATTGGGTTGACGTATGTGTTGAAGAAGACGGCAAATCGAACGGTGAGCTGCTCGACCGAGATGCCTTTGGCGCGTTGCTGATAGGGGAATAACTCGACCATGTAGGTGTAAGCGAGGGCATTCCAGCCGATGTTATAGAACCTTGTACTCGGTCAGCTCCCAGATCTTCGCAGACGGCATGGCAGGCAGTTCCTCACGGGGAGTAGACAAAAATAAACACCAGCACCGGAATCGCCGCCCTGGACGAGTTCTCAATCACCGAACGAGCACTCGAGATGGTCCAGACAACATAAACCACCGCGGTGCCAATGGTACATGTCAGAAACATTTTCCTCCGGGGGAACCGCGGCGCAATGAGCGCAATTGGAACGGCATTGATGAGGCCCCAGCACGTGTTGCTCAGGATGATTTGCTGCACCGTCCTGTTATCCGTGATACCCACAAGGCCCAGGATTTGCTTCATGTAGAAGCTCAGGAGCCCGTTCCCGCTCCACTGGGTGAAGAAACCCACAATGGCAGCAATCGTGAAACGACGCCGCATGGGTGGATCGCGAACAACATCAGCCCAGACGAATGACTTCGCCAGCTCCTTCTCTAGCGCAATGGTTGACTGAATCTGTGCGTATTCGAGCCTCACAAACTCGTCGCCGTCAGCACCCTCACTGTGGTACTTTTGCAGAATGGCGAACGCTTCGTCTCCACGATCCTGCGAAACCAGCCAGCGGGGCGACTCGGGACACCAATACATGAACGCAATCTGAAAGAAACTTGGGACGAGTTGGAGAAGGCTTGGGAGGCGCCAGGCCCAGGTGCTGGTCATCTGAAACGTGCCGTAGGTGGTCCCTGCGGCGACGATGGCGCCGACAAACCAGGAGGCGTTGAACAACGATGTCATAACCGGGCGTTCATTGGCATACGACAACTCTCCGATCATGGACGATGCATTGACTATCGCGAAGGGAATCCCGAAGCCAAGCACCCAGCGAGAGGCGAGGAACATGTCTGAATTGTAGGCCCCCGCCTGCAACCCTGCGCCCATGCACATGATAAGGGACGCAAAGAGGATAGTCCGACGCCGGCCGAGATACTGGCTGACCGTAGGGATGAACGGGATCGCCATGAGTGCTCCGAGCGAGTACATGGCGTTGAGGAGGCCGAGGCGCCCAGAGGTTGGGTTGCCAAAATCTGGATTCGGCCGGAGTTAGCTCCTGACTTCTTACGCAGGGCCGGACGCTCACAGACAATCTGACCACGACTTGACGGCTTGCAGACTGTTCATCATGGACGAGTCGAAGCCAGACGTCCATTCCACTCCCAGCCCAGTGGGAACAAGAATGAGGTACAAGAATCGCAGATTTGTCTTTTTATACCACGGCTTCTTGTCAGCCTTCGCAATGCGCGTCAACCGCGGGTCGACGTGCTCCTCTTTCGCACCGATTATGGCCATTATTTCTGATTGATGATAAGTCGTTGGTCATTGGCATTGTGCCAAAGGCCGGCCACATTCGTTCGAGAATGGGAGTTGGTTTTTATTGACAGATGCCGTGTAAGCACCTGCCTCTTAGATCTTTACATACCCGTCTCTTGGGTTGCTAAAGAATCAGGAAGGACTTGCCAATTACAAGCATGCCGAGTTGCTCCAGCGAATAATCTGCGCTGCTGTCTGCGGCTCTGCGGCTCGCCTAAATCACCAGTTCTGTTTGGAGTTGCTTCCTCCGACGGATGCGGGGTCTCGGTGAACAATAGCTGCGGGGAAGATCCGAATTCTCGGGATCGAGGACTCGGGCGACGGACACGCCGGGCGAGACAACCCCGAGACGGGCTTGTCAGGTTGCACCATGGTTCTGCTGTCTCACAGAGCAGGTGGAGAAATGCGCTCCAATGGACGTTGCAGAGGAGGCCCAGGAACATACGTTTGATCGTGGACGCTGAAGCTCAGGCACCGTTCAGATTGTTTGCCGAGCAAATCCAGCCATCTGGGCACACGCCGCTGGGCTTTACACCGCAGGGACGGTGAGCTGGCTCGGTCGTTGGAACCCAGAATTCGCTGTGACAAGGCCGACATATCGACAAACTGACCAGTTGGGCACTGGATGCGGCGCATAAGACCACTGCTGAGGGCTCGCCAAGGATCATCTAGTCTCATCAATGTCGCCCTGTCACTCCGGTTCAGCCGAACCTTGGGGTACAGGTGTATCCCAAATTCCCAACCTTCGTACAGATCGATGAATCAGCAGATAGAGATAACAAGACGGCGTCAAGTAACGAATCTTCTACGATGGTATCTCACGAATGGGTCTGGAGCGAACAAAACTTCATGCAGATCTAAGCGTCAGCTGGTGGGGGTGCGAAGACGAAGTCCTCAAGCTCCTTGTATGCAGTTTCCAAATCCTGGGCCGGTTAGATACCAAAGAATGTGCCTTGCGAAGCAGGACAAGCGACTCACATCGTTGACGATAATCCTGTCATGCACGCCCGGAACTTTAGAGTAATCCAACTCGGCCTTTGCCCGCTGCAGCCGCTTCTGGATCGAGGCCTCAGTTTCTGTCCCGCGCCCCCGGAGGCGCTTCTCCAATTCTTCCTCGGATGGCGGGGCGATGAACACATAGCGGGCGGGAAAACCAGATGCCCGAACCTGCTTCACGCCTTCCACTTCGATATCCAGAACGACAATCTTTCCCTTGGCGCTCTGTTCCTCGATCGTGGCTTTTGATGTGCCGTAGAGGTTGCCGCTGAACTCGGCACTGCAACACCCGCGTTGTCAACAACAAGCCATCCAGAATTCCAGCGACAGGTTCTATGATCCGGCCGTTCCATACTTCTCCACGAAGCCATTCTTGGCCTTCAGCTCAAGGAAGGCCTCCCGCGTGACGAAATGATAGTCGACGCCATCCTGCTCGCCGGGGCGCGGGCCACGGGTCGTGTGCGAGACGGAGAGAGTGAACGTGTCGGGATGTCTCTGCTTGGAGCGTCAGAGACAATCGAAATCGAAGCCAGGGTGAGAGGCAGAGAGTAGCGAGCGGCCTACTTGGAAGAGGAGCTTGTAGAGTGTGCCTTTGCCAACCCCTGAAGGACCAGAGATAACGATGGGACGGGAATCACGAATGACTGTAAGACTTAGCGCAAAGTTACGATCGGGAAACGTAGGAGAGGATGGCTCACCAGGCGCCATTTTATGGACAAACGGAACCGAGCGAAAGACTTGGAGGGAAGCAAACAGAGGACGGCGCATCTCTCGATAAACGGTCAGTCGCGGTTGGAAAATTGGCGACGGGGACCTTGAAGCAGCGGGGCTGACCCACTTCCTCGGGATTGTTCAGTTCAGGGGTCAAAGGTACTGTGTACTTGGAGAATACACTTACTGGATGGGAAAATTCACGCTAGAAATAGGTACTCAAGCTGTACCTAAACTCCATGCCGGAAATCGGACACTGTGTCAATGCCGCGGAATTTGAACCAGGCCGCATTGGGTGCAGCAATGCAGACTGCAGCAGTGCAGAGTTACGGATACAGTACGGAGTACCAGGTTCATCAACACACAATTTGTTCCCTTTCAGACCTGCATGCCCTGAGGCCGGCTCTGGGCTCCTAGCTACAGATCTCGATGGACATTAAACCTCACAATACTTGAATCCTGATGATTCCCAGTCCTCCTTGAGGAGCCATATCCATACCCATTGCAATCATTAATCCCACCACATCCCCATCTCCTTTTAGTCCACAAGATTGCAGTCATGATCTAGCAAACAGTCCAAAACTCACACTAGACCTCTTCGGCTTCCTCTCAACTCTTCTTGCTGGAGTTGCTGCCGGCATGTCCCCGTCTCTCCTCGTATGTGTGAGAAAGTAATAGTCGCTGAGATCGCGCCCGTCCGGCGCTAGGCCGGCAAGGCTCTTGCGTGTCTCTACTACCTCCACTGATGTTTGCTTGACAATGACACCGTTCATAGAAGAAGTGACACGCGCCGCCTCTAGATCAGTGAGCTGCACGGGCGAGGGGGTGTCTACCTGCCGCGTCTGCAAGTCATCGTTGTCGTTTTGGGTGTAGATATGCTCCTCGCTGTCATTGGCCGTGAAGTTAGGAATGGGATGGACGCTTCGCGGGCCCATGCCGCGGCGCGGGTTCTTCTCTTCAAGCTTGAAGCCTCTCGGCTTGCCCTCCATGCTCCGCGAGTGGCCGGCCGTTCTGTTCTGTGATGACGACAGTGACCGGAGGCTCCCGATGATGGGGCGGAACAAGCGGGTGATGAGCGGCGTGATCATTGGCAAGTTGGACGTCACCACCGCCACAAATGTCTCTCGCACGGCCCACGAACCCGCCTGCTGAGCGCCGTTGACCGGGTCCTGTTGGATTTTCCATTGTGTCAGAGCTATTCTTGCTAACCAAGCTGCCTTGGAGGTACTAACCGTGATGATCAGAACGCAGCGCAGGATGCCTGCGACCGTCACGAACGCCCCACCGGAGAACAGAAAGATGAGACCAGCCTTCTTAAGGGGCCTCAGCGAAGAATGCCACAGCATCGGGATGGGGATGGTCATGAGGTAGAGATCGGTCAAAACATTCAAGACTACTGTGACAAGTATGTCGACCTTTGATATGGCTGGCTGACAGGAGTCTGCGCTAGAGTTAGCCACGGACGAATCTGATCTCAGGTACCTAGCGTGGGGGATTTACGCACTGCCCGGATCAGGGTATATTTGCCAGTTTTTGCTGAGCGGGCGACAACTGAGCAGAATTGAAAAGAGGACAGCTATCCATGTTGTGAAAATGAGAACGAATCCGGTGTAAATCCGCTTTCGAAACCCAAGGCCATCCTATATTCGGAATGTCAGCAATGCCAAGCCTGCCCTTACCCAATCTTGAAAGGTCATACCGTCAGGCGAAGGTAGAAGGTGCACATGGCAGCCTTCATGATCCACAGCAAAAAGGTGTAAGTGGACCAGCCAGCGACTTGCGTTTTGGAGCCGTTGACCCTTAACTCAGCTATCAGCCTGAGGCAATATGCCGTTGTCTCGGAAAGAATATCTTACCGCAGTCTGAACTCCTCGCTGTTTGGATCGAGGAGACGCCGTTGCTCATCCGTCATGGCATTATTGGCAAGGCCTTTCCAGAATGCCCCAACCGAGTACGCCAAGTACGTCTCTACCGAGTAGACTATCTGCCTGACGCCGTTAGTGACCCTTGGGCCTGATGGTACATGGAGACCTGCCGCTGCTAGCACCATAAGATAGTCGTCTGGCTGGAGGCCCTTGAAGCCACCTAAAGATATCCTGGCAAACATTCTTAGACAGATTACCAGGAGACCTAACCCCAACAGGGCGAACGCCTCCTGCGCAAAGGCGTCCATGACAGAGAGGGAGAACCTGGGCTGAGGGCCCGCCTTGACCCGAAATGTCGACTGAATCGAGAATAATGGCGATAAAGGCTTTGATGTCGTGGTTACGCCAAAAACGTTAGGAACCAATATTGGCCACCTTGGCAAATGCAGCCACTTGAACTCTAAAGGCTTGTGGGAGGACTGTCTTCGAGAGATCGAAGAAAAGAACAAGGGAGCTTAGATGACAGCTGAAGAACTGCTCCCGTCAGAGAAGGACAGTCGCGATTCGACATGGCGAAATGATCGGGAGTCACGAATATGGTTGGAGAGTGAGGTTAATAAGGAGGAAGACTACAGTCTGTAGGCATAAGCAAACCCAGGACTACAGCACGGGGTATCATTAGGATAAGTTACCCATCAACCTCGATGTAAAGGGTGTGCAACTGGGGAAATGTTCCGACCCGCGTGTGACGCCGGGATATAGTCTCTATTCGTGGGTTTGCGAGTGGTGCAAACATGCACCGCGGACTCGAGGATGGCAGGCCGCATTTCCCAAGCGTGTCTTCGATTCATGGTTGGTGTTTCTGGCCTCGTACTGCAGATTCATTGGCGGACATCAGCAGCAAACCAGCCAAGAGAAATGGGGAAACGGAGTTTGGTCGCGGGATCCTACAGCTGACTGCGCGTTCCCGTTATTTGCTCTGCGCATACGAAAATCAACACTTTGGTAGAGGAAAAGGGGTTTGGATGCGAGAGTTAGCATCATATTCCCTGTTAGCTGGTGAAATTGAGAGATCGGGTCCTGCAAGGCAAGATAAGGTTACAGGAAGGTGCCAACAGAGGCATTCAGAAACAACAGGATCGACCTTACACAACCTAACCCACGCTCAAGCTCCCCCATACCTTCCTTCCACTTAGGTGAAAGATGCGACAAAATGGTGTATCTGCCACCTGCTTTTAGAAACTCAGCCCAACTTAGGTGCCCGTGGGTATGAGCTGCAGATTTCTGCACTTCACCCAGGCACTGCATCATCAGGTCACCGTGAGTTATCACCTTACATCGATGACAGGAGAGTACGAAATATCCTACCATAGTACCAGCCTGGATCAAGAATCAGGCTCAACAATCTATTTGAATGAGATCTGGCCACCCAGCTGCTTTCTTATCCGAGAGACCCAAGTGAAGTCGAGTGAGGCAAGGCAAGCCTGACATGGGAATTAGGGATAATATCACCCTACGGTTCCTACCCATCCTGGGTTCGTTTCCCCACGCTTGAAGCATGAGTTTAGAAAACTTTCGGCTGCTGCCGGGACTTGAAATGTGCAAGATGGGAGGATGGCCGGGCCGTCGGAAATCATGATGCCCGGGTTGCAGGCACGGTAACACAAGCACATGGTTCCGGGTACACAGCATACACTATCAATTTCTGAGAACGACTTATTATCACACCTGTGGGCATGACCCAAAATTGGATGCTCAACTTCCTCTCAAAAACTCCACCATTATCGTTGATAATCTTACCTCGCGTGTTGTAGAAACAACTCACAGATCAGTCGTAAGCGTTGCTCAACTATGGGAATGCTTTGGACCAGGCGTTGCTTGACCGACACCTTCACTGAACGTCCTCTAATGCATCCGTCAAACGATGCAGGGACAACTCAGTGGTCAAGCCTTGTTAGTGTGATCCTACAGCATGATAAAGCCGAACTGTCGAAGGCATCCATGGAGGCTGGCGACGAGCCGCCGAGTGCCAACCATTCCTTTGGGATCCGGAACCGTGCAAGGTTTGTCCCGCCGACGGCGGGGGTTCCCCCTCTCGTCCGGTCTCTCCGCGTGAGCTGCATAATCCACGTTGATTCGTTGTGTTCCCCTCCTTATATGGTCAAGTGTATAAAAGGGAGACACAAGGCTTTGTCGTTGTCTCGGTGGTCCAAGGGCTCGGGTGCGTCCTATGTAGTAGGTACTTGTACCGGAAACTTCCAGTACCAAGCTCCCTCGGCGTGTCGAGCATGGGTTCGAAGCTTTCAGGGAGCACCTATCTGGAGTTGTTATTAGCTCTTTTTGGTGCCGATTCCGGCTATCGTACGCAACGCGCACCTGTTGAAATGACCCAAGATGGCAGGATCTGGGCTATGATTGGGCCTCGCAATAAGAGAATCCCATCAAGGAGCAGGATTACAGTTTCTGCGTAACACCAGGAAGAAACTGGTCTACGTCGTTCAGAATAGGCAAGACCGGGCCGAGCGGGCACGCTTATTCCGGGATTCCTCCCCGAACGTCTACCTGGCCAGTAGCAATCCCAAGTCGGTGAACCCGTTTCGAAGCTTTACATTCCTGCAACCGAATCGGGTCATCATGGGATTGCACGAAGTCAAAACTCGCAGATGTCAGGGGTATCTTACCGAACCAACAGTGATCTTGACAACCGACTCTGGAGTCTGGACTGTGCAATATGCATGAGGCATCTTCCTTTGCTCCACCCGCTCTTCGAGGGAAGGAGCCAAGGAGCCAATGTCACCGTCACATTGCATGACAGGGGTCAAAGCCAAGACCACGAACACAGTCTCCTTTTCAAATTCGTTCAAATTTTGGCAGCAGATCGTGTGCAGTGGAGATATCCCACGTACCCGGACTCCGATATGCAAAGCGGGCGATGTTCCTTGATGAATACGGCTCACTGCCCCTTTGAAACTCCCACTGTCCCCGTCTTTTTCAACCTCTGGGCTCCGTGATACTTATCGACACCCGCGATCCTACTCGATTACGGGTCTTAAACAACGGGAAAGGACAGGAACGCGAACAGCGTCACCCTCTTCCCACAATGGAAACTTTAGATCTTGTAGTCATCGGTGCAGGCAGGTAATTTACTTTCCTCACCGGCTCTGAGGACGCATGGCTGACATTGCTACTTCTTTCAGGCGTCTTTGGCCTCGCTTCGGCCAAGGCATTCCACCAACTAGAACCTCACAGGAGTTTGGCCATTCTCGATTCTGGTTATACTCTTGGAGGTGTTTGGGCCAAGGAACGTCTCTATCCGGGCCTTAAAACTAACAACATGCTGGGAACCTACGAGTACCCCGATTTTCCCATGGACGAGACCTTCGGAGTCAAACCCAGTGAGCACATTAGCGGCGAGGTTGTTCACAATTACTTAACCAAGTACGCTCAAAGATTCAACATTTTCGACAAGATTCGCTTTCGGTCAGCCGTTCTTACTGCTGAGCACCAGGATGGCGCGGAAGGAGGCTGGGTTCTGACGGTGAAGAATGTCGACACAGATGCGCACCATCAGATCTATGCTCGAAAGCTGATCATGGCTACCGGGCTCACTTCGGAACCCTTCCTGCCACATATCGATGGCCAGGAGAGCTTCGGGGTGCCCTTATTCCACAGCAAGGATTTCATTAAGCATCAAGAGACGCTTAACACGGCCAGATCAGTGACTGTATTTGGCGGCACAAAATCGGCTTGGGATATCGTGTATGCGTATGCCTCTAAAGGTATCCAGGTCAACTGGGTCATTCGAGGTACGACGGACCAGTCTATCAGTTGTGGTCTGGACCAGGCTTACACTTACGTGATACAGAGAGCGGTCATGGTCCGTCATGGCTGGCCCCCCCTTACGTCACGCCGTTGAAGAAGTGGCTCGAGAAGCTTGCCCGTGAGTCTCCCCCAGCCTGGACTACGCGTAGGGCTTGCTATTTCGCTGACACATTGCGTGTGGTACAGATACCCGCATGCTCACATGGTTTAGCCCCTGTATTTGGGGCGAAGCTGATGGCTACACCGGAATACGGAGGTTCTATCACGGATCCGCCGTTGGCCGTGCCATCACCAACGTTTTCTGGTCGATCTTGGGCAATGATGTTCACACACTCAACAAGTACGACTCCCACCCGGAGACAAAGAAACTCAAACCGTGGAGCAAGCCAATGTTCGTGGCCTCTTCCTTCTCGATTCTCAACTACCCTACCGACATCTTCGAACTGGTACGCAGCGGCGTCGTCAAGGTTCACATTGCAGACATCACGGGCTTGTCAAGCCGGACAGTGCACTTATCCGGTGGTACACAGCTTGACACGGACGCACTCTGTTGTGTTACCGGGTGGAAGCACGTACCACCCGTCAAGTTCCTGCCGGAGGGCATCGACAGGGAACTCGGCCTGCCCCACACGCTCGGGCAAAGCACACTGTTTACATCTGAGGCGGTGGAAAAGGCCGACCAGGAGATCCTCACGCGCTTCCCGCGTCTTAAGAACCAGCCGGTCCAGAACAAGAACATGAAGCCCCTCCTATCCACCCAGGGCCTATCCACACCCGAGAATATCAATCCTTCCACTCCGCTCACCCCGTGGACACTCTACCGATTCATGGTCCCGCCCTCGGCCCGCTTCCTCCAGACGCGGGACATAGCCTTTGCCGGTGTGCTGCTCAATTTCAGCACTCACATGATAGCCCACGCCCAGTCGCTCTGGATCAACGCCTATTTCAACGACGACCTGCCAGCCCGCGTCCTGCCGCCTCTGAATCAGCAATATGAATTTGAAGTGAAGGAGACCGAGGTCGCCAAGTCCCTGGACGAGCTCCGTTACGAGACGCTGGTGCACGCCCGCTTCGGCAAGTGGCGGTACCCGGCCGGCCACGGGTCCCAGTTCCCCGACTTCATCTTTGATGCGGTGCCCTACATCGATCTGCTGGTGGGCGATCTGGGTCTGAAGGTGCACCGCAAGAAGGGCTGGTTTGCGGAGATGACGGAGCCTTATGGTCCTGAAGACTATAGGGATTTGGTGTCGGAGTATATGGCAAAGGTACGGACGGATTAGGAGGCGTGGTTCTCAGTTGGTGCCGATGTCTGTTTGGGAAGCTCTTGGGGATTGTTTCAACCGCTCGCTGCTCGCTTTCATCAGGTGGAGGTTCGTGTCGAGAAGCATTATATATACCTGGGGGCTAGTTGATATCGGAGGGGTCGTCTTCTACCAGCGTCGCGTTGTATTTTGAAATGGCCGAGCTCAGTTCGGGAGGATATCTTGTCGTATGGTATGACACTTGCTTGAAGTATCCTTGAGCCTCGCAAATCTATTTAGTTAAGTCAGCATTGCCTTCCAGGTTTTCGTTCAGGTTCTGGCCGAATGGACCATGGATGGAAGGATTGGCAGATAAGAACGATCCATTATTCTGAACGCCAGAACTTGCAGGCAGCTGCTTTTGAAATAAGGTGCTTACCCGTTGCAAGGTGGGTTCCGGGAGGAGTTGACGCTTGATAGCAAGCTTGTTCCTGTACCCGTACCGGGAAGTTTCCACTTACAGGAAGGGATCTTGCCATCGCCACTTCCTTCAGTCAACCCCTCCAGAGATAAGCGGCTCATCAAGCGAGCGGTTCGTCCCAAATCATTACAGTACCTAGTGTGCCAGGTAACAGAAAGACCTCGCGGAACGGCGGCTTGAGCCCGGTCCGGGATGCAAGAGGATGCAATTTGTTGTCTGAGGGAAAGGTAACGAAAATTGTGACGATGGATGATGTTACTTGACATACCCCAGAGATGGCTGCGAGGCCATCCCAGTCCCCCACTGCCAACCGCCGCCCGCGCGGTGACCCTCCTTCCCCGCCCATTTCGATCATTCCGTGATACGAATTACTAAATGTTGTATTAGTATGAGCACCCGTTGCGTATTAGCTGGTCATGTGTTGTGGGTGACCCGCGCTTGATTTGTAGATGAGGCAATGGTGTTGCAAGTTGTAACCCATGGGCCATTGCCCTTGCTACTGCAGCCGGTGATGAAGAGGGAAGGAAAGAGCTGCATCATATGTACCTGCTGTGGGCTAAACTGCGCGTCTGCTTGCTTGTGGTATAATTCTCAATTTCTCCCAGACCCAGTTACCCAATGGCAACGCGCTTCTTCCACCGTCACCGACTTTCAAAGCCCAGCAACCTTCAGGTACCTACTCAGCGACCACGACGTCAATCAGATCTGCCTACGAACATACTACTATGGCCGGTCCAATCTCTATTTCCAGAATCGAGCCGGCGGCCGGTCGACCCGGCAGCCTCGTCTCGATATCAGGCTCCAACTTCTCGGATCGTTTAGATGAAAACAAGGTGGAGATCGGCGGTGTCCCGGCGCTTGTTGTGCGCGTGGCGAAGACAGAATTACAGGTCCTAGTTGACGAGATATGTACCGGCGGCCCCATAATCGTCACGTCCCATGGGTCGATTGCGACGGCACCCTCCCGATTCCAAATTTCGAAAATGCTCCCGGCTCCAGACAGTACTAACTTACTAAGCCCTCGGAGAGCGGGCCCCCATCACCGTCCACGGCCCTCAGCATGGTACCCCGACCGCCGGCATAGAGGACCATAAGGTGCGTCTTGGTTCTCTTTACGCATGGTAAGGATGAGCCTCCGGCCGAGCCGGATGCCGAGCGGGATGCTGAGATCTCAAGTCTCGACCGTGTCAACCGCTACTGGAGTGAGGCCACCTATGCCTTCGACCGGACTTCGGGCGCCACGACGTTTCAGTTCACGGTCGAATCGTGAATAAAGCTCCCGAAAGCCGGGATTGCGTATATCTGGAGCATAGAGGATATCATGTCCCGCCGTTACCTCTTCACCACTACTTCCGCCCGCCTGTCTCCTAGATTCGCTTTGAGAAGTCCGAGACCCGGACTGCCACTCACAGTCTTACCTAGAACTGCTTACTCGATGCTGATCAGTAATCCTCCAAAACCCCTGCCATCGTCGCATCGACTGCATGATGAACCAATGATGAGGGGTCTGACGAAGAGCTGGGCTCATAGCGAGCACAAAACTTCATCTTGACAACCCTCCAAACGTGCCCACGGTTAGAGCGCCATCTCTAGTCACCGCCGTGTCTATTAAAGATCTGGAGTAAGTAACCGGGCCCGCAACCGCATACGGTGACAGTACGCCGGCTCACACGGTCATACCGCCGCAATACAGACTGAGTGCAGTAACTGACGGCAACACCATGGCCGCCAATCCGGAAGCCGCGGAGATCATCCGCAGGAAGAAAGCGCAGTACTGCCGTTTTCTAGACACCAAACAGTGGGACGCGCTCGAGCAGCTCGCGCTTCCCGATGCAGAGTTCCGCTTCCTAAACCCGGACGGATCTGTCATAACCATTGGCAAAACGCCGCTAGACTTCTCCACGCCCAAGGCGTTTACGGCTTTCATGGCCGTCCTGTTTGACAAGGCCCGCACGCTCCACATGGTCGGAGGATCCGGAGAGATTGAGCCCCGCGATAGTCCGGACGAGATGAGCGCTGTCTGGGGCATGGAAGATCAGATCGTCATACGCGGCACGGCCGGACTGGCGGAGATGAGGGGGGGCGGGTATTATCATGAGATTTGGAAGAGGGACGGGAATGGGGGTGACTGGCACCTGAAGTCACTGAGGCTGGAGAGAATTTATGCCAAGTCGAGCGTCTTGGGCAGGGTGTTCGCGTTCTTGCTGAGTATCTGGCTCATGTTGTCGTAGGGGGCCGACAGAATACTGGAGGTGCGAAGGACCGCTACCGGTACCATTCCTTTGGCTCATCCGGTTAGACATTGCCCTGATTGGTGGGCCCCGCTGTGCAAGCAAGCTTCATCAATTGCAGTCACCCAGTTACCAGGTAGCTACCTGGCCCAGAGAGCGAGACCCTGAACCCTAAAAAGTCCAGATCCATATCAACTTACCAGGCCATTCTTTCACTCTGCACACACGACCACGAGAAGTCTCTGATAGCTGTCGAAGAAGCCCTTCATCGACCCCCTACTTGAGCAGCGAGCAATTACGTCATGGCTACCCCGCGCAGCAGCCCAGCATGGTCCTTGACTTCGCACCTTCTGGCCAGCGAACAAGCCCTCTTCAAATCGGCGACGCAGCACCCCTTCCTGCTCGCCGGCGCCGAGGGCCGCCTGCCCAAGGATGTCCTCAGCCGCTGGCTTGCCAATGACAGGCTCTACATCCACTCGTACATTCGCGCGGTAGGCCAGCTGCTCGCCTCCATCGACTTGCCGCGGGAAGCGGCTCGATCAGAGGAGGCATTCGAGACGCAGCTGGCAGACTGGCTCATCGAGTCGCTCGTCTCCATCCGTAAGGAGGAGCGCTTCTTCATCGACGTGGCAGACCGGTACGGTCTGGGGATTGAGATTGGCATCCCGCTGATTTCTAGCACCGCCGCCGGCGCGTCAGGGGTTCCGGACGACGACGGCAATGGCCGGGGTGGTAGGAATCCGAATGAGCTTCCCGGTCTGGGGATGATGCAGTCCGTTTTTGCATCCATCAGCGCCGTCCCCTCGACCTCGCCCCCGGATCCGGACTCGGGGCCCAACCCGACCGCGGCTTCCATCACGGCCCTTGCCGCCAACCCGCCGCCCATCCTTCCCTGGCTTGAGGGAGCCATCACGTTCTGGGGCACGGAGCGGTGCTATCTGGAGGCGTGGTCGTGGGCCAAGCGCAAGGCGCGCGAGGCATCGTCTGCATCTGGTGGGAATGACGCCGACGGCGGGGCGCTGCGCAAGGAGTTCATTCCCAACTGGAGCAGTCCCGAATTCGCGAAATTTGTAGAGCGCTTGCAGACTTTGATTGATTCTGCCGTGGCGAAAGTGCTAAAGGGTTATGAAAAGGAAGATGAGAGGGAACAGGTGAAGCAGGGGATCTTGGCGAGGGTTGAGGGCCGGTGGCGGACGCTGTTGGTTGCTGAGAGGGCTTTTTGGCCGGATGTTTAACCTGATTAAGGTACATACATAGTGAGAAAGGATTACGGAGGTTATTGACGACGAGTTGCGCCGGCTCCTTGCAAAGATCGAACACATGTCTTAAATGGCGACCATGTTGAAGTCATCGACAAACGGAACAAAGCCATGAAACCTTGCCAGCCGTTCAGGCTTGTTCTCTAGCAGCTCACGTTGAACCTTTTGTATACAATACACTGGTTAGTGTACAAGGCCTGTTTGCACCAGGGGATGATTACGGAGGTGTGCGCAGGTTGGACCGAAGTCTGCGGTAGGTTAATGATATGTAAGCATTAAGTTATGTAAATACATTACACATATTAATAGTTAAGCCATAGTCAACCCTGAATGTTACGCGTGCAATGTGAAATCCGTTATTTGACATCTGCATTAGGTAACCCCAGTGGCTGTGTGGTCGCCAAGGGACAGCTGCGACAAACCGCGACTGTCTCCAGATAAGACAGTCAGCGCTTCAGGAGCTCATTTCAACTTCCTATTGTTACGGCCACAGCACAAACATCTACGGATATCACCGCCATCTCCATCAATGCCGGTTCACAGAACAGATGGCCTGATGTGCGTTGTATTTTTTCTTCGATTGTCGCTAAAAAGCTCGTTCTTCTCTACGCTCATTTGAACTCTTCCTATTTGGCCCAAAGTCCATTTCGCCCCATCCCCTTTTTGAACCCTCCAGTAGCTAGGTCTTTGCCTGAATCATCATCGACCTCGAATGTCCTCGTCAGCCCAGACGCTCAGGCGCACACCCATCCTGACAGCAGCAAGAAACCATGGCGCCAGAAACAGGCCAGCGGTACGAGCCGGTGCCTCCCATACCAACATATGAAGAAGCTGTCGCCGGGAGCAGCGGCAGTTGGCGAAGCGAACGCTCACCAATCGACGACCCCCGAGATTTGGGCGCAGAGGGCCAAGGGCTCTTGAGCTCGAGGCATGCATTCGAATCACCAACACCGACCCAACAGGCCCCGACGGGTCGTCGACCGCGAGGCTACCGGCCCCCGACGGTGGAAACCGACGACGAAAGTGATCTGTTCGCCTCCGACGACTCAGACTCAGATGCCGAGACGGAATATGTGCGACGGGAGATGCAAGAGCTGGAGATTGATGACTCCGAGGTGTCGCGGAATCGATCTTCATGGGGGAAACGCATTGGGCTTTCCCTCTCTTTACCGCAGTGGCGATGGACGTGGAGGTGGAGGTTACCACGTTTACGAAGCGATGGCGGCAGCTCCGGGACGACACAAGACGCAGACGATGGCGGCAATAGCGCAGACTCTGGAGGACAGATTGGCCCTGGCCTCCTTGCCCTGCCTAAATTTGGCAGCGCAGCGCTCCTTCTTCTGATAGCTCGCATCTTTGCCATGCTCCTCGTCTTCGGCTTCCTTTACCTTCTGTTTGCTAGCGACATGTTCACCAACATGGCGAGGCGGATGGGCAATCCGGTTGATCCCGAAAAGCTGCGCAGCCACCTTCAGATGCACGTGGACCCGCGGAGAATAAGGGATCAACTACAGCACTTTACAAGCTACGCGCATCTTGCGGGGACCGAAGGTGATTATGCCTTAATGGAGGACACGGAGATGCTCTTCAAGACGTACGGGCTGGAAAGCGTCACGCGGGACGTGTACCATGTCTACCTCAACTATCCAAAGGCCGGAGGAAGGGCGGTGGAGATTCTGGGGCAGGACGGGAAGCCGATCTGGTCCGCAAAATTAGAAGAGGAGGAGACGGGCGGCGAGACTGCCGGCCGGCAGACGTACTCGTTTCACGGCCACTCAAAATCTGGGGATGTGAAGGGGCCACTGATCTACGCGAACTATGGGTCGAGGGAAGACTTCCAGGCGCTCAAGGACAGCGGCATCGACACAAATGGCGCAATCGCACTCGTTAAGTACTATGGACCGCTCAGCGATCCAGGCTTGAAGGTCAAGGCTGCCGAATTGGCAGGCTTCGCGGGTTGCATTATCTACAGTGACCCAGCTGACGACGGGTTTGTCAACGGCAAGACAGCGCCTGATGGCCACTTCATGCCTGCGGATGGCGTTCATCGCGGCGGTGTGAGCTTACGCAGCTGGATTTTGGGAGACGTCTTGACGCCCACGTGGGCCAGCAGGGACAACTTGCCGAGGATGAAAGTTGAACAAACCAAAGGGCTGGTCAAGATTCCAAGCCTGCCATTGGCGTCGCGTGATGCCCAGGTTTTGCTGCAGCACCTCAAGGGGTTCGGCCACCATGTTCCCCAGTGGTCCGGACGGGTTCCTGACGTTGACGAGTATTGGACCGGAAACGGCTCGTCACCCATCGTTCGCTTAAAAAACGACCAAGACGAGGAAGAGAGACAGCCTATCTGGAACGTGTATGGCAGGATTCCTGGTCAAGAGCAGCAGGAGAAGAAAATCATCATTGGCAACGCCCGTGATTCTTGGGCATTCGGAGCGGCAGACCCCCACTCTGGAACAGCAATCATGCTCGAAGTTGCTCGGATTCTAGGTGACCTTTATGCCCGTGGCGCCTGGCAACCTCTGCGCACCATCGAATTCATGTCCTGGGACGGCGAGCAGTATAATCTGATAGGATCGACCGAGTACGTTGAGCAGAACGAAGACGCACTGCGCAGTGAAGCTCTTGCCTACATCAACCTCGGCGGGGCCGTTTCTGGCTCCACCTTGCGAGCCGCTGGCTCGCCCGTGTTTCGCAACCTGCTCCTACAAATACTGAACAGGGTATCCGATCCCTATTTCAATGCCACGCTGCGGGATCTCTGGGACCGACGGCATGGCGATATCGACGGTCCCCTCAACGACACGGCTTGTATCCCGTTCCAGGATATTGCCGGGACCTCGTCTTTGGATCTCTACTTTGATGGCGGTCGTTTCCCTCGTCATTCTAATTACGACAATTTCGAGTGGATGGAAAAGGACGGTGACCCGGGCTTTGTCTACCACACACTCCTGGGACAAGTCGTCGGCCTCCTTGTTCTTGAACTCTCGGACCGTCCCATCATGCCCTTCGATATGCCAGCTTACGCGGACAATTTGAACCGCTGGGTTGAGGAGCTCGACTCGTGGGCCACGAAGCAAGGCGGGGCTGATCGATTGTCGGTAGCTCCACTCCGCGACGCCTCCAATGAGGTTGCCAAGTCTGTACGCGAGTTCACCAAATGGGAGGTCAACTGGGAAAATACCATCGTGGCGGCCAGCGGGTGGGAGCCGACAGGCCTGGGCCGGAGCAGATGCGAGTACAACTCGCGCATGGCGAAGTTTGACAGTGACCTGCTGGATGCGGCCGGGGTGAGTAAAAACGCCAGCAATTTTTATTTCGCGACGCTATGTCACGACGCATGCTAACAGAAAGGGTGCAGATACCGAACCGGAAGCAATTCAAGCATGTCGTCTTTGGCCCGCCGCTGTGGCCTGACACCGAGTCCGACGGGGCCTACTACTTCCCTTCGATCCGGGACGCGGCCCTGTCGGGCAACTGGACGCTCGCCCAGGAGACGGTCAACAAGGTTGCGGGCATCCTGAGGCAGGCTGCTGCCAACCTGGCCAAGTGATGATGGCAAGCCTTTTTCGCTTGCCTGTTTACATATTTCAAGAGAGTACACCACCGCACCATCGCACCACCGCTCTCTCGCCGTCTCGATCTAAAACGGCATGCACCAAACCTCCTCCGCCTACTCTTGACTGCGGCCACTACTGGTTTTGATGTTCATATTGGTTGGCTCACCTCCTCCATTTTTTTATGTTTTCTCGATCTTGCATTGCATCGGCGTACTGGGTTCCACGGTTTCAAGTCTTGCTTTTTTGAACACCAACATTTGACACTGCACACTGTATTTTCCTTTCTCGTCTTGGATACCTACTGTATGCGGGGAGGGCCTCTGACGTTATCCCCACGTTGTACATACGACTGTTTATCTATCCATCTACCACGCCACTTGCGGAGCGCAATCCATCTGTGGCTTCGAGGCGGTTTATTTGCATGACTTTGTTTCTATACTCAATATATTGTTCGTGGCTGGATAGCTAGCAGCGTGTAGGCTGATAACAAGAATGCGGTCTTCCGTTGTGGAGCGATCCTCGATGCATATGTCAAAACAATTCTGTGTGTCCTAAAGACTGATGCTCAATGAGTTCAATGTGAGACTGCGTTATCATATTGATACATTACTGGTACTCCATAGCGCCAAATGAAAAGGGCTGCCGGAGGTGGGAACAGAATATTTCTATACACTAAATGTACAGGACGTATCGTCCCACCAGTGGTTTGTGGTTTGTGCTCGTTTGGTCCGCCTCATGACGAACTGCCCTTGTGTCTCCATTGCCCCGTTCATTAATCCATGGCTCACTCTGTGTCTCCTATCCCGTTGACCTCAAGGCTACTAGTACGAGCTCACCATTCATTCCGTCCCAACCTCAAAACTTCTCTCCATAGCACATACTGCCAGCCCACCAAACTCGCGTCCCTTCACAAATTCTGGGTATCATGTGCAGTATGCCTCCCTCATTACTTTGGAGTCAACACGACGCCCTCATACTCCTTGCTCTGGATCATCTCCAGGGTCTGCATGAAATGCTTCCTGCTGGCCTCGACAGAGGCCGAATCCTGCTGATTGCCCGCCAGGTTGGAATGGATGAGCTCAATGAGGCCGTTGAGGTACTTGGTTGTGACCTAAGGAGTGGGGAGGAGGGGCAAATTAGCACACATTGTGAGCGAACAGTACGGGAGTAGGGGTTCAACCCACCGACTCGTTCTTCTGATCAAAATAGTAGACATATCGGTCGAGGATCTCGACAAACAGCTCAATCGACGTGGCCGTCTCCATGCATGAGTCCGCTACGCGAAGAGCACGTTGTAAACACTCCAGGACTCGCTTGCCGTCGCGGTAGAGCTGGGGTTTGATGTGGTCAGTACTATCGTTTGCAAGTATGAAGCCGAACAAGGGGCGGGGGCTCACCTCAGTATTCTCGTCCTCCCCATTGGCGGCAATCGGTGTCGCCCACCACAGATGGCTGGCCAGATAGACAGCTCTGCACTGGTCGGGCTTGCGAAGCAGTTTGCTAGCATGCTGAGCGCACTTTGTGATAAGGGTGTCGTAGTTCTCCTTGCCAAAGTTCCGTGTCCGGTGCAGGGCGCTGGCGATGACGCAAACGGCTTGAAATTGGGCTTTTGAGTCGCTGATTGCCTCCTCATAGACTGTGAACGCCTGGGCAAAGAACTCGTACGCAACCTCCTCAAACCCTGTCATGTCCGCAACCTGCCCACAGGAGCAGAACAGTCGAAGGGAAAGCTCGGCGGCGCCCGATCCATTGACTCTGGAATACAGTGTTGAAATGGCAGAATGCAGGGATTTGAGCAAAGCGGAGGATTGCGATGACCAGTTGTCGTCGTAGTGCTCACGGGCCTTGTAGCGGCGAGCAAGTTTGAGGCCCGCGGTGACGAGGGGTGGTGTAGTAGTCCGGATCCGCTCGTTGCCCTCAGCGTATGCCTTCCTAGTCATTTGCAGCAGCCGGAACTGGGTGTCATTGTCGTCTGAATGGATTAGGTGGACAAGGCGAGCCAGCCAGCCCTGCTCCTCCATCGTCTCATCAGTCTCAAGAGTGCGACTCCGCGGTTGTACAACGCCAGGGTAACCAGCCGGCGCCTGTGACCCTTCCTTGATGAGGACCTTCAGAATTTCCAAGACATTCTCAAGGTTGAAAGGCGTTGAAATGAGTGTTTGGTTCTTCAGAAGAGTCTTGGCAACTTCCCCAGCCACGGCTCTCCGCGTCGGGTATGTTTGAGACTGGAAAAGGGGCACGTATGTGGGGAGTGATAGTGCTGTAAACACAGACGCATATCTCCTAAGTGGGCTTTGGAGAAGAGCCAAGAGGCTCTGCTGCGCCGGTGGTGAGTGCAAGTCAGCGCTGTTGGCATGTTCCTTGACCTTGGCGTTGGCGTAATCCAGAATCTGATCCACGTAATCCAGCCTCTCCGGGTAGATATTTAGCGCAAGGTTGGTTAGTGAGACACACAGGGCAATTGTGTCTTGGATTGGAAGATGCTGGGCTTGCACCAAGTTCTTCACCTGACCGAAAAAAATCTCATACAGCCGCACGTTCTCGGGAATTCCTCTGCGCTTCTTGGGCGGCTCCGTTTCCTCTCCGTTAACAGCAGTCGCTTCGGTCTCTGCTATTGATGGCGCCGCTTCCTGGTCCGCGTGTAGGTCGTCCGTTGTCGACGCAGCATTGGTGCTAGGGCGGTCACCGTTGTGGGGTGACTCGATGGCACTTCCAGGGACGCTGTCATTCTGAGCGCTACTTGAAGGCCCTCCTAACCTCGTCTGTCCAAGAAGCTGCGCCAAAGCCTCTTCTTCTATCTTTCCCCTATCCTCCTCTGACTCGTTCTGCGATTCGCGCTCTGCATAATCGGAGAGGCGATCCATGAGCCCAATGACGATGGCTTTGACGTTGACATGAGGATTTAATCTTGACACGGCGCCGAGGAACATGTCGAGAGTGTGGAGATGGAATTCGTCAGGGAATACCTGGGTGATGACTTCGAGGAGATACTCTTGAGCAAGGACATCTCGGCACTGGACAACCTGCTCCAATAGTGGCCCGAGGATGCCATTCTTGTACGCCGGCAAGTCTACCAGCTGGCTAAGTCGGACAATGTTGCTCCCCACCAGCAACTGGAGCTCCTTCCTCTCCTGTGTCCGCTGCTCACGCTCCCTTGAGTGCCCCTGGTGTTGTAAACGGACCCAAAGCTTGTTCATCTCGACGAAGTTGGTGAGGATGAAGTTGATCGAGTCCTGAAGGTTACCTTCTGGGCCATCAGAATCACCCGTCGGGAGGTAATCCCTGGCCTGACCCGAGAGGTAGTAACGCAAGAAGAGACCGCGAATCGGGTGCTGCACGCCACGGCTCATGTCCATCATGTCTTTCATAAGCTCTTTTACCGGAGCGCCCTCGATGGACATGTAAGCGGTGCCAACCGTAATCATGAGGTAGAGACGTGGAATGATGTTTCCAGCATACTGCACAAGCTCGTAGAGGTCGGCAAGGTGATTGACGGGGTGGTTCTCGCGGAGGTGGACGGAGAGGTAACGGAGCGCATCGAAAACGGCCATGTACAGCTCGTAGTATTGCTTCGGGCCCAAGCTACTGGTCCGCAGTTCAGAGACGAGTGTCGAACTGCGCGACAACCCAGTCAGCTACTGTATTGTATCCCAGGCGCTGCAGCACCAGCGCAGCTTCGACATCATCGCAGAGGCCAGGCCAGGCAAGGCAAAAAGCAGAGCAGCGCAGGGGATTGAACACACCAGCATTTGAGAGCATCCATCAGTTTGCCGGGGGTGTCAAGACACTTGCGCATCAAGACCGTCTGCTGGCGCACGGCGATGAGGGCATCCTCGAGGAGACGGGCCTGGTCCTCAGGCGGCGCGGGCGTCGACATTTTGGATCTCTCACTCTCAGCAGCGTCGTCGGCAAAGTTCTCGATTGGCTGGCGCAGGGCGAGGGCAAAAATAAGGTGCCTATAACGGGAGAGTCATGCGCGACGTTGGAAGCGCGTACAATTGAAGCCGAGGTGTTGCAAGCCGAATGACGACGCCAGCAGAGGCACGGATGGACCTGCCAATGCATCCAGCGGCGGCAGCAGCAGCCGCAGCTCCGCTGATGCGCTGAGGCCTGAGGGCAGCTTGCAGGGTTAGGGGAAACTGCTTACGTAATGCCCCACTCCTAACACGTGATGGTTGTTCAACGTCACTCGACTGTACTGCGTGCCTGCTGTGTGAGAAGATATTTGCTGTTATCGCAAGCAAGAATCTGGCCGGTAGGAGTGATCTCTCTCCTACCCTCCCGAGTCTCCCTAACGGATGTGGGCACGCAAACGGAGTTGTCCAAGCAAGATCCATCCATGTTTGGGCAGGCGGCAACCACCTGCCTGGGTCCCGTCGTGAGTTCCTCATCGGATTGTGAGAGCACCGGTTGTCCCTGATGAGTGGTGGATGGAGCAGCAAACACGGATGGAAGGCTTCTTCGAGCGCAGCTCCCTGAATTCACCTACACAGTGGTAAATGGGTCTTGTCACAAGCCCTTCGCGCTGAGTGAGCCTTCAATCTCCCTTACTAAGATCACGCCCTCAGTTTCCAGATGTGGAAAACGACGTCAGATCTTTGCCAGTGGATGCCACTGTACACGGTAAAGCCGTATGAATCCGCCGTTAAGCGTTGCCTTCCAGATTCCAGGTTGTCTCGGGAAGCACCTGACAAATCCGAGATTGAGAGGAGAGTATGCTCGGCAAAGTAACCAAAACTCGTCCGATTGATTTCACAGCAAGGAAATGGTTTGCCTATTTAACTGCTGAATATCACTCATGTCGTCTCGAGATCACCATAGCCACTGATCATACCAAGTGCGATTGTGCGAGAGCGTTTCCCACTTCGATTCACCAGCTTTCTGGGCTCGCTCCTAAGACAATCAGCATCCCAGTATCACGGTCACTAACAGAGTAGCAACTGCTTCAGAATCAGCAATTTCAGCAAGAGATACTCAGTCAATGGCGCCGGATACCATCTCCCTGACCGGCAAAACCGCCATTGTCACCGGCTCCGGCCGCGAAAATGGCATTGGCGCTGCCATCGCCATCGCCCTAGCCCGCAATGGTGCCAATGTTGCCATCAACTACGTCTCAGGCTCATCTGCAACGCGAGCTGCCAAGGTAGCAGCGAGCATCGAAGCCCTTGGCGCCAAAGTCGTTGTTGTCCAGGCCGATGTGTCAACTCCTGAAGGCGCAGCGAAACTGGTCCAGGAGACTCTAGAAGGGTTCAAGACAGATAAAATTGACATTTTAGGTTCGCCTTGAGCAATTCGCTTCTCTTTCAAACCTCGAACCAAGCGAAGTTAGCGAACTAACAAGATGCCAAAAGTCAACAACGCCGGCTGCGGTGCCGGACAGGGAAAGCTCATCACCGACCTGACGCCCGCCGAAATCCAGCAAGCCTTCGCCGTCAACACCTTCACCACGCTGTACACCGTTCAGGCGGCAGTCCCGTACATGCCCCGCGGCGGACGCATCGTCAACATCGGCAGCGTCGTCTCGAGGATGCACAACATGCTGGGCACGGGCGTGTACGGCGCGAGCAAGGCAGCACAAGAGTACCTGACCGCTGCATTGGCAGCTGAACTGGGCGCATCCAGGGGCATCACCGTCAACACTGTCGCTCCAGGCCCTACCAAGACCGACGCCGCTACCTGGTTCCCAGCAGGTGAGCTCAGGGACGATGTGTTTCGGAAATTAGCCAGTGGGAGCCGTTCGGGAGCGGTGGCAGGGAATGTGGAAGACGTGGCTGATGCTGTGCTGTTGGTGGTTTCCGAGGGTGCCAGGTGGGTTACAGGGCAGTATATTGCCGCGAGTGGGGGTATTACTGCCTAAGTGGCTATCCTAGTGGCGTAGAGTTTGGTATTGATGGTCTCTGGGGGTTTCACTGAGGGGTCAGGTTGGTATTAGGGTATGTGTTGCTGGTTGAATGTCACGGCTGTACTGTACAACGGCTGAAACGAGAGGATTTGTAAGAGAATCATCGTTGGCTGATATAGAGCTGTCGCGCGATAGAGAGTGTTCCTGAGCATTCGTTGGCAGCATATTCCCGTGCTCGATTGTGCGTGTTGCTTGTTCAAGTGCCTCCTGTAGTTCTGTCACACTTCATCAGCGCCGGAAATTCTCCATATCAACCTAGCTGACTCCCTACCTACCAGTCGAAGCCCTTGTGAGAAGTATTGATATCATGAACAATGATATGCAAAAGAGGCTGCAAATGTCGCGCCGCATGCATTCAAGTTAAACCATGACGTGTGCAATTCTAGCTCTAACTTCTCTACACGACTGTCCCTTCCAGCAGTCCTAAGACACTCTTTAGCCTGTCTATCCTCTGTTCCCTCCCAGTAGCCGTTCTACCAAGTGTGCCATATACGGTATCCAAAGCATACTTGACTTTCGGAACCACAATCCGTTCGCGCTCCGTGGCAAAGTATTCAAACAAGGGTAGCATCAGAAAACAGAGCCTCAAGTAGCCCCTCAACTTCACCTTGGCTCGGCGCCTTGACAGCGACAGGTTCTCTTCTTTGCCGTATCTCAGGCAACCGGGGAAGCCGTCGACTTTGATATCCTCGCTAAACTGGAGGATTTTGTCCAATAAACTCTCCAGAGTGTCGTTGTCACCTGGGAGCCCTGGCATCGCCGTTTGCTCACTGGCGGAGAGAAGATGTTTAAGCGCCACAGCTCTGTCTTGGAACTGAAAGAAAAAATTGTTTGCTACCGCCCCTTCTTGGAATGTCCACAGTCTCTTGGGCCAGGGTGACGCCGCGATGATGGCCAGGGTGCGGTCCGCTGGCGCGCCGCTAGACTTGAACGACATGAGGGATGGCACCAGTGCCAGAACGCTATGAGCGGAAACAAAGACACGGCAGATATGGCGTGCCGCGAGCTTTTTCGTGTGGCGATCCGCCGACGGCAGGCACAATGAGTCAATCCAGAAGAAGGTGCGCCCAGCCGGACTGCCAGTCAGGGCGTCGACAAACCCCTGAATCTGACGTATCCGGCACTGCGGTAGCTCGGCCCCCCGAGAGTTGCCCATACCTTCGGCCCGGACATGGCTGATGGCGACGTACTGCGCGGCGGGATGCGGTGTCCCCTGGCTAGTGTAGGCTAGATCTAGCTCGATGACCTGTAGGGGTTCGGCTGTGCTTTTGCTGTTGAATGCAACGCATATGGATCTGCCGCTTTCTGCCAGTTTCCCCAGCTTGCCGCTATCGACCTTGATGATGGGACAGCCGGTGCGGCATATATGCGTGGGGCTATAGTCCTCGATGTCGGAGACATCGCTACTATCGCCTTCTCCCCCGCTAACGGAGTAAATATCAAGCTGGGACAAGGTGGCCAACATTCAGATTTCCAGATTTGAGGACAAGAACAAGAACCGCGATGCATGCCCGCGACGGAGGGTTGGGAAAACTTTGGGCAAATATTTTGAATTTGAATTTGACAGCGTGGCGCGGAAAGAGGCGAGGTTGACACATGCGCCACCGCAGACAAAAGTAGACTGTATGGAAGGCGGCTTATGGAGGTATGGCATGCGCAATAACGTACCCAGCGAATCAGCCTATGAACAGGCTCGGGCTCTTCCGCGCTTCTTCCCCCGGCCGCCTGTCGGGCGCTCCAGGTACCCGAATATGGAGGCACCGGGTGAGACAAACATGAGGCTTTTCTCCTGTTGTAAGCCCACGTTGATCATTGGACGGCTGGTGAGTAGAACTGCAGAGGAAAAAGCTTGCGGATGCAAACCCCGCAGCAAAAGCAGCTGGTGGCCAATACGATCTAGATATCATCGCTAGTGTTCCCGAATTGGGTGTTACGATCGACCGGGGACGTGAGCTGGCGGTTATCGCGGTAAGCGGCGAGTACGGAGCTGGAGAAATGGGGAATCAGGGGACCGAGAGGCAGCCTAGATAAGGCATGTTTCCATCCGAGACGGGCGTTTCTGCCAACCATGTAGTCGTCAGCGCAAACCAAACTCTCCATGAATACAATACCATTTCATGCTAAGCCGCCCGATCCACATAGCGAAATATGGCCTTAGGCGTGGTCACCAATCTGGTCCTTTTCGGAGCCTTCGCAATCCTAGTGACCTCGTCACCCGCAGCCTTGCCCGAGCTGTTGCACCAGTTACGAGGGGTTTCGGATGTTCATGTGCATCAAGAGGGTGAGGCTTGTCCCCCTCCTCCGACTCCTCGTCCGGCCATCGACCTTCTCCGGGGCCAAATGTCGAATCCCGCCGAGATCCTATCCGTACTCCTTATCATCGGCGGTGATGTCGTCCAAAAGGCCATTGCTCAGCAGTCCGGAACGCGACTCTGGATCACCCCAGTCGCATTTAGCTTCGGCTGGGTCGCCTACACATTCAATGCTGTGATGTCAGTCTTTGGCGATGGGACGCTGATGCCCAGGCCAGAGGACGAGCTGTTCGTGGTCAATCTCAATTCCGGGACTCGCAAGAGGAACGAGTCATGGGTCCTCTGGAGACTGGTGCGCGACCTAGAAATCAGTTCTGTGTCCGAGAAGAAAAACACAGTGCGGATCTTCTGGTTTGAGCCTAACGCTGGACAGCCCACAATGGACTGGCTGTCGTGGCTGTTTGTAGTGTGTCTCCCCGTGCAGCTCGTTCTCGCCGCCATCCCCTGGTGGATGCACGGCAACTGGATTATCTTCTTTATCACGTGCGCTGGCAGCGTCCTGGCCACAGTCACCGGGTCGTTACCACAGTGGAAGATGGAAAAGTATGATGCAAGGAAGAACAAGCCCGGCATGGGCTATATCCTCACGAGGGGAAACGGCCATCCTCACAGCTTCGGCGTCATGAGCAGGCCCTCGCCGCCCTCCTCCAAACCTGGTGGGGTTCGCCTTGACGACTCCCAACCTGGGGGGTTTCGCCTCGAAGACCTGGCTGTCGTCCGCCCTGACAGGGTCCAGTCACCGGTAACAAAGATGGCGATGCCCATTCTCGCAACTTTGTGGGTAGCTCTCCTGATAGCGGTGAGCGGCCTGCAGCGGGATACATGGTATCTGTTTGCGGTAGGCGCCGTTGGCATGGTCCAGAATATTACAGTAGCGGGCATGCCACGCACCCCAAGTGCGCACGGCATCCCGCTCAGGGAAAGTGGTCAGCTGAAAATGCAGGAGAACAAGACCATGGCCTTGCTTCAGGAGGCAGAGCGGAAATTTCCGGGTCTCGGGTTGGAAATGTTGGGCATCTACTTTGAGGGCACAAAGCTGAACCCACAAGAGGAAGCATTCTGGTCTAGGGCGAGAGAGTCGCTGAAAGAAAGGAAGGAGCAGTGGGAGGCTCGCCGCGGGACGTTCGAGGCTGAAGACGGCTGCTTGGGAGCAGTAATCGATGCCACGACTCGCTCGCCCGCACCGGGAATCGCGCTGGCACCGCTTTTGACACCTGACACTTTTGGCAGAAGGAGTTCGACTGCTGGCCACGATGCTGTTACTCCGGTCAATGGACACGCTCCAGCAAATGGGTCTCAATAAGAATGTAGAGTACATGCCTGGGAGGGTCAGGTGATAAACCTGGCAGTGGCTGGTACGAAGAATTCTGCCCGATCGGCCTGCAAGCAGGCAACTAATATTGGACGTGACGTAGAAATGGAAGCGATGGTGAGACGAATCGTCGGAGCCCGGGTACGGTAACCACCTAGGGTGCCTTGGAGAAGCAACGAACCAGCCAGAAGAGGCAGTTGGAGGCTCGAAGGCAACCACACATGAGTTAGGCTGTTAGCGGAATCATGGGATGTACTAGTACGAAGTACCTACCGTACGGGGTACTGTAAACTGTACTGTACTGTACTATACCGCCTAATCTCGCATCTCTGCGGTAGCATCGGCCATGGTGGGAGGGGGGG